GAGCGGTCTGTGCTATGAGGGAGGTGCGTGATTGGTATTCTGTTTCAATTCCAAGAGCTCCTGGAAGAACTGCAAAAGAAATCAGAATGCGGAATACCATGTCATAATCAAAAAGTTGCATTTGCAAAAATTTCCAATGGAAGTCATAGGAGGTTACAATCGCTTACCTTGGTCAAACAATTTTGAAGAAAAAAAAGTTTTAATCTCTTCTCTTATGCATCAAAACAATAAAGATTTCTGTTTATGGTGGTGCAAGCCAAAGGGGGTTTCTTACCCAAAATCCCTTTCTTAGTTTCTTGAACATTTTCTCATACCGCACATACAAAAATTACTTGTTTGTTTTCAGTATTTTTCAGTAATTTTCAGTAGCTGCTTATTACATGTTCAAGTGTAGCAGTATCATTTGGGAACAGGTTGCACTATGAAAAGAACAAAATTGGGAGGCAAGGAATTGCGTCACCGTTCCTGTCAGCTGTTGCATTGCTTATTCAAATACAAACTTTGAAGAAGCCTTGAGCAGGAATAGATGAAGGCCACACAGCAAATTAATACTATGACAAACGGATAAATGTCAGGGCTTTCATTTGTTCTTCATCCTTCCTGAGCAAGCATTTATTTACAGTACTGGTACTCGTTTTGCCTTTAATAGAGTTACTACTTGCAAGAAATCAGGAGTAAAAATACAAAATTTTAAATCTTTTACACATGCAGGATAAGAATCCTGGGTTATCTTTTCTGAGGTGCTTATATTTTCTGTCTTTATATTTTGAATATCAAAGAAAGATGAAAAGGAAGTGGGGAAGCCAGTAGCCAGCTAATTAAAACTCCACAGAAGTAAACGTATAAGCCATAAACCAAAGAAGAGCAGTCTAATACCTTGGTGGTATCTTTCCAAAGAAGTACCCATTAAATGGTGGTTGGGTACTTTTACTCTGGATCAAAAGTCTGATCAGCATCTGAGTAGGAACCATGCCATTCTAACAGATGGCCATGAGGTTAACCAGCCACAAGACCATGTATATGGATTAAATACATTTGCTGAAGGCATGATTTGCAGCCTGGAACATTGATAAGCAGCTGGCTGTATTGAGTTTCCACTTCTGTGTTATTTGAAAATCTTTCTGATCTGGATTAAATTGAGCAACTAAAAATAAAAGTAGTCTCAATGATACAAGTTGTGCTTTAGCTTTTTCAAAAGAAGAAACTTGGGTGAGAATAGTCAATGTAATGAGAGCTTCGCTTATGCTCTTTATTTGCAGAAATCCTCAGCTCAGACTTTGGCTGCTTCCATAACATTTTGAATGACTTGGTTAAGGAGTTTGAGGAAACTTAAGTTCTATAATTTCACATTGCCTTTGAGAGGAAGAGGGAATGTCAACTGTAACTAGAGTCCTTTGTATTTTGAATGCTTAACGTTACTGGAATACAATTGCATAAATTGAAATCAGATAGAACGCTATGTATCCCGAAGGATATAGTGTTCTCTCTTTTTTTTTTTTCTTGGATCGCTGGTAGCTTCTTTGTTAAATACTCACAAATTGAATATACAGTAAGATAAACATGTGCTCTTATAATGCTTACCCATAACTATATGTTTTTATTGACTTGGAATACTAGGAGAAGTATAAATTGCTATAGAACTGGAGACGTATTGTGAGTGAATAAAGCAGATGTTATCTTAGCATGAAACAGATGTAAAATTCACTAGTGTTTGTCTCGTAAAGTATAGCATTTGGTTGAATACAGCTGGTGCCAGGATTACAAATTAATCATGTTTGAATGCATTTTTGCTAATTAGATCCCCCTCTGAGACTACCCTCTCCCCCTTAGTAAATTCCAAATGTTAACATTTCTTCTGTTTGATAGCAGCCGCTTTTTGGTATTATTAGAAAAGTTTTCAGTAGTGATGAATTTGAAACTAGAGCTTGTTCAAAATCTAGCATTCCCATTTTGATAAGTATATGGCTTTTAGTACTGAGTGTACTGAGTGCCAGTGTCAGCTTCTTCTGCTGGTGTTATGATGTTTTTAAGACTGTAAAGCAGCTGGAGAGTTTAACTGTGGACTTACTTGGAATCAGATGCATTTTTTTATCTGTTGATTTTTCTCAGACCAGAGCTTATATTGGTTTAGTTTGTCAGCAATTGACTTCAGTAAAACACACGTCTGGAGATAAGATTCTATACTGGGCAGTAAAGGAAGGATAGGCAGGATTTTTTGTCTAGCTTTATGTTAGCTCTGAAATGGTATTGATTCTGTTCCAACATAAGAGATGAGATAGTCAATGGGACTGTATAAAAAAGATGAAAGTCTTAGGATTTTATGCAAGGTTGCACTACCCAGAATGACATTCATAAAAATCTGGAAAAACAGTACCATTCCATTATTTCAGTACTGTTCTTTTTTAAAGAAAGATGAATTAATAAGATTATCTTTAGATATCACACTTAGATTTCTTAATGTATGACTTACTTATACCACATATGGGAATCTTGCTAGATATTCAGATAGAGATTAAACCTTTTCTAATTTACTGCTTAACAAAGATGTTTGCTAGGTTTTTTTTTTTTAATATATATAGGCTGAAACTAAAATGATCTCTAATAATAAAATAATTTTAGACAAGATGCTGTATTATTTCTCTGCAAATAGGCTGTTTATGAAGTCTTAGTTTGTGTAAATGTGGTCATCCAAGGCTCTGAATTTGTTAAGTTTCATTAAGTCTTTATAACTAATGTGCTACTAAAAGGAAGTGAATTCCAAAGCAGAGATCCTGTACTGAAAGCAGTTTTCTCTAGGACATTAAGAGTTTTCATGCCTCAGTAAGCCTCACCTACTGCAATATCAGCCAAAGGGAAAGGCATAATTTGAAATATACCTAACCCAAATAATTTAAATATTTCTAGATTAAGATTAATAATATCTCTACTTATGCCTAAAAAAAAATAAAGAATCAGTTTTACTTTAACCTGTTCTTTAAATATGAGAGCGCTGAACAGCTGGCTTCCTGCAAGAAACAGCATTTAACAAGTGGGCAGCGGCATACCACTGCCAGCTGAAATGTCAGAATGGTATTATGATATAGTCATAAGTATAGCACACGAATTAATTGAGCCTTGAGGTGGTAAAGCCATTGAACACTATGAGGTGTGTACATCTGGAAGAAAAAGTTAAATTCATGTAGCAAAGGTATGGTTTTAAAGTCCAGCTGTTGGCAACTGTACCTTTCTAACCATCTCATATGACAAAAAGAAGTAAAAGATCCAAAATATTTCAGAATTACATATCAGAATCAGAAAAGTCAGGTATGTTCCCTCAGTTAACAGAGGTATTAATACCTCAACCATCTGTCTCTCACCCTAATTTGTCTGTGTTTTTTACCTTCATTTAGATGAGTCGCATAGATACACGAACGCAAAGACTCATGCCACTGTATAGGTGAATTTCCCCAGTGTTACCAGAATTTTTGAGTTTCTAGTTTTTATTTATATTGAAATTTGAAATAAACTTTCTATTCAGTAATTTGTCACCTCAGTAATTATTATTTGGATGAATATCCCATCCAATTCCTTGGCTCAAAATGGACGATCACTTACGCAGGCAAATTTACCACAATTGGGACTAAAGCTGACTAAGTAACATATCTGTCAAATTGACTTAACGGGGAAAAAAGTGAGACTCATGTGATAGTGAAATGCAAACAAAGTGAATTTATTATTGAACTTATTTACAGGAAGTAGAAAGAGAAATTTCATTCAGAACAGAATGTGGACTCTATTATTCCTACTACAAACAGATGGTTCAAGCTGCATCCATCCAGCAAGGTATTGTAATCTGTAAAGTAAGTTTTACTTTTTGATGCCAGCTGACTGTTTTTAATATTTTTCCAAATATAGTTGAGGACCAGGAATAACATAAGTATGAAAGATGGTATAACAATTGTACTAGAGACAGATCAGTTCTGTTCATACTCTAAAGAGCCACAAAGTTAGGGACACAGCAATTTCACAAGGATACGTTGGTTTCTGGGCCACACCTTCACCTTGAGATTGTGCAATCGCTTGGAGGGACAACTTCCATATCTATTAGGTTTCAGCCTTACTGGTTTATTCAGCAGATTTGATGTGATCCTTATTTTTTGATACTCCCCCCCCCCCCCCCATTTTTATTTTTCCTCTCGATGACTATTTGAATTATGAGCCATTTGTGGAAAGGGGCAGTTTTTGCTGTGTGCCTGTTAAGTCAGTGACACAACAAGCTGCTTCCAAGCAAATGATGTTTATGATAGTTTCATGTTTTCTAGCTACTTAAGTAAGCTCCCTAGTAATTTTGCTTATACTACACACTTGTCACTGTTTGTGTGAGGTATTAACCTCACACAGGTGAGGGTAATATTGACAAGAAGGGTTCTTTGTCTCTTTAAAAATGCCCAGAGTGCATTGATCAAGATTCAGGGTGTACCACATAGTCTACCTTAGGAATATAAGTGTAATAAACATTTCATACATTATTAAATATACAGTACTTGAATTAGCACTCTGAGTCACATTGTAAGCAGGGAAACAAGACCTCAGAAGGTCATAGTGATTCAAAGGTAATGTGATTTGAAGCCCTGACTCAACATTTACAAAGTTTGTGGTGAAAGATTCTAAAATACCTTTGAAAAGTTTTTCACTGTTCAAATAAAGGTGGAGGGGGAAAATGACAATCTCCTATTTCAATTTCTCTTTATCATTAAGGTTTACATGGTTTAGTATATGACAATAAAACTGAATCTGTGAGGACAATTAACATACTTGAAAGAATGAATGTTTACCAGGAGGTGTTTCTCAGCATTCTGTATAGGATTCTTCCAATTCAGGTAGGCATTTATTTATGGCTTCAGACTCTAAGTGCATTATGGAGATTCCCCAGTGAATCATAGCTCCCCTTTTCAGTTGTATTCTAATTAGAAATACTCCTGATACCTTTTTAGTTTGTAAAGGCAAAACTTAATTCATATTAAATACACTTTTCCCCCCCCCCAAGTGTTTTATGTCAACATCAGTATCCTTCTGTTTTACAGCAATACTTAGAGCCTGTTTATTTTTATATCTACACTTTGTTTGGACTTCAGGCGGTTTATGTCATTGCTCTGTATGTAACAAGCTGGCTTCTTAGTGGAACATGGCTTTCAGGGTTGTTGGCAGCTTTCTGGTATATTACAAACAGGTAAGTCAGATTTAATATTAAATCTTTCTAAAATTTTACCTTATGTCAAAGGTAAGGCATTAAACCTTCAAATGCATGATTAATTAGAGAAAAACACAAATAGAACCTACAAGGTCTCCAGATTAGCCAGAAAACAGTACAATGTTTATATAACAGAAAGTTAGAAAATAAAATAATTAGAAATAAGCTGAAATTGCAGACTCGGTTTTTGAAGTTTCAAGATGTTTGAGTACAAAGTTTTGGTCAAATCAGTGTCTAAAAATAGACGTCTTTTGGACATGCCTAGATCCTCAGATGATGTATCCCATCTTTTCCAGCCTAGGATCTCTTAGATGTTACAGACATCCTCTTACATGCCCTTCATGCCTCTCCTCACCACCCCAAACCTAACCTCCAGAGATTGTTTCAACAACCTATGATCATCAGAAGTTCAGCTTCTCCATTCCATTATTCCTGTAGACATCTCCTGCACTAAGAGTCAGAAAAAAGATGGCAATTGAACTGCTCTGCTGCTTCATCACTTGAAGATTTCTCAGTTCAGAGAGAAATACTAAGGAACTGGCTTTAGGCCAGCACAAAGCAGCTGGAATGAGGCTAAGACTGGTAACATAAGCTGTTATCTGTACTTAATCAAGGAAATGAAAAGTACGGTGTCAGTTCTATCAAAACTGTTTGATATGTTAATCAGCAACTGTAAAGAACTTAATCTGCAAGCATGTCAATTACAGAATGGTTATTGGTATGTCGTGGTGAAGCTAGGGTTCTTTCTCCTAAGATGAAAGTAATTTAAAAATACATAGTGCCAAAGTGCAATAGTCACATCTTCCTTTCATGAGGGCATCTTTTCCACTTATAAAAGGTTTGGAATAGATTTGTTTTGTCCAACTTTCTAATAATTTATGGACAATGGAAGCTTGTTACTATTTTTCCCAAACAGAGTAAATACATGGAATTGATTTGGATAAAGACTTTCTGTCCAAATGAAGTATATCTGAGGCTGTGGAGTAACTCCATTTTAGAAATCTTTTTTTCTCCCTGTAGCTAAGCATGTCTCAGATGTGCTGCTTGTTTTCAGTTTTAGCAAACATTTCCTCTACAAAAAACTGACATTTTTCCATACTTAGTGCATTGAGATTTTGTAATGACTGCCTCTGGGGAGTTTTAACTTCTTTCACACTTTCATGTGAGAACATTCCAAAAATGATCAAAAGTTTCTGATCAGTTTAGTGGTGTTCAAATCCAATGCACTGGGATCACAGGGAAGAGATTAATAACTGTTTATTCTTATATGTGCTTTACACAAACCAAAAATGGAGTAAAATTACTGGTTACCTGAAAACTCCATATGCAGGATTTTGGGACTGTTTTTGTTTTGGAATTTGTTTGTTTTTAAATCACCCAAGCTTTGCTTGGTAAGGAAGGTTTAATCCATAGCATACAACTTTAACAGCAAGTTAAAATACAGGATTTGAGGTACAAGAACAGCGGAAGATTTGTAGAACTTTCATACTGATGTTTTTTCCATCAGACATGTTGAGAGGAATAGATTACAGAGCCTGCAAATTTATTGATGAGACAAATACCAGAAAACATGCCTTTCATTGCAACCTCTCTATCACCAGGTTGGGATTATTTGTTTTATATTGACAAAACTGTTTCTTTTGTACAGAATAGATACTACAAGAGTAGAATTCACCATTCCTTTAAGAGAGAACTGGGCACTACCGTTCTTTGCAGTTCAAATAGCAGCCATCACATACCTACTCAGAACTCATTTACAGCCTGCTCATGAAGTGAGTATTTCTAACAGTTGTGACACAGTAAAACTAGTATCAGAAAGATCAGGTCTGTGGTTGAAATGTGAAGTGCGGATACCTGTCTATAAAACTTGAGGACAAAATAACTTAAGCCTTTATAGCAGTGGATAGCTATAGATAGATATTACCTGTAAATGAAAACATTAACCGGACGATCCTTCTATTAATGTAGATGTAGTTGAAATATGAAGAGATACATATGCTCAGCTTTGGAAGAAAATTAAAGGGATGCTTTTAACTTTAATGGGAAGCTCTGAAGAGTACAAGAAGACAGTGCTGTGTATTTGAGAAAACATGAGAGGCTGACACAAAGCAGGCAGGAGAAAAGCTTGTAAAGCTCAAGGCTTAAAGCTTTTCTTTTGATTTCATTTATATTAATAGGAAGTTCTTGTCATCTGCAGGAATAAGAGCAGATTCATGATGCAGTTTCTCTAACAGGTCTAAGTCGTTATTTCTCAATTTGTTTAGGTGAACTAATATTTATAACGTAATAAAATATATACTGCATGTTAATAATCTATGGATTGAAAGGAGCTGAGAACTCACCATTTTCTTGCAGGTGGTATTACAACAGTAAAACATAAACGTATAAACACAAGAACCTGGAACTCTAAAAAAAATTGCCATTATCCTAAAAGCAGTTATTGCAGTTAGAGAACTCATTTATGTTTGAAAAAGGTGTTTAAAAATAAAACCAGATTACCTTTCTAAAAAGGGTTTTCTTTGGTGAAGAAAACAAGTTAAATAAAAGTTCTTTCCTCCATCTTCCAGAGACTGACCCTTCTGGCTGTATTCATAGCAACCTTCCTCTTTAGCCTGACTTGGCAATTTAATCAGTTTATGATGCTGATACAGGCATTGGTATTATTCATACTGGACTGCTTTGACATGCTTCCTACAGCAAAGGTAAGATCATTGATTGGAAATGACTGAACTTTTCCTTTTTCCATCATATTACTAACAGTTCTGGAAGCACTGCATTTTTCAGTGATCTGTATGTCAAAAGTAATACAGAATATACACTGTGCTTCTTTGATATGCTTTGGAATAATCATGGTATATTTACTGTAAGTGTAGAAATGAATAAACATAATGTACACCATTTCTGTTTTTCAGCTGATTATATTTCATTTTGTCTAATCAACTTATTGTCTAATTTTCTTCCAATTTATTATATGCTATTGAAGTCTAATAGCAAAATGTTTAGACACAGCTATATTTTGACGCTGTTAAGGGGTCGCTTTTAACTACCATCATAACAGTAGATCTAATAAGTCAATTGTACCACAGCTTGAGCATCTCTAGAACTCGCCAGAAGGAAGTGAAACACAAGAAATCTTTGTCTTAGGCGAAGTCATAACAATGTATGAATTTTGTCCTGACTATCCTGCATCCTTGTGTGAAAGTCAGGTATAGGCAGTGTACCACAAAAGAAGGAATAGAATAGACCAGATTGCTCAAGAGTAGCGTCTTTTCTACATTGAAATTCACCATGAAGTTAGCAACAATATCACTGGTACTTTGCTGAACTGAATGAGCCAAAAAGTAAAACAAGTGTTAGGAGGAGGATAAGCAAGCCTTTACTGTCAATTCTAAGAAATGGAAATACTCTGTAGTAAATTAGAATATTGGCTTTGAATTCAGTGTCAACGTGAAATTATACTGAAATGATCTTAGCCTATTTAAATACTACACTGTCTGAAAAAGGTTCTCACTTTAAGGAAGGTTACAGCACAGTGGAGTAGCAGCTCATGTTAATTTCATCTTAAATTTGAAGCAGACTTGAATATTAGCAATTGCGTTTAACTGAAAATTAGTATGGTGGCTACATGTCAAAATAAGTGTGGTTTATTTAAAAGTTTCTAAACCGCTGTCGTTATATCTGCAAGTGTAAGCTGAAGCTAGCAATTAACGTGACTAATCAGCTACCTTGAAGTTTGGCCCATTACCAGCTTCATCTTAAACTATTCTAAAACGGACTTACTGCACCACTATTGCTCCATATTAATTTTCCAACAAGTGCAACTTAAAACTGTTGGAGTTTATTGGACCATTTGGTAATTGACTAGACCACTGCTGTAACACAAGACTGAACTCAGGATCTACTTTTTCTGGTTTCCAGTATCGCTGCATCTCACGATCAGCTGTTTTCTAGTGTATACATTCAGTTGAACATTCATAATAGTTATTTAGTATAGCTTGATAAGACATAAAAAAGTTATGCAGAAATCAGCTACTGTTTGATTGCTTAGCGGCACTGAGTTGTAACTCTTGGGTCATAAAGGCTTTACAGAGGCTACAGAAGCACTTCTGTGACTGAAGAAGACACAAAACATTCCCAAAATATTAAGTAATTAGCTTTTCCTCACTCTGCAAGTGTTCAGCATGTCCAGTTTATTAGAGCATCAGGCTTCCGTAGCAAAAATATATAAAATATTCATCTAACGGCTTCTGGACATAAATAAAGAGAGGATATAGTAATGCCTCTGAGCATAACAATTTAGTGAAAGACAGTATATTTTTGTAAAAGTATTGTTGAAATAAGTTATAAGAAATATTCAAGGAAAAACAGCTAAGACTAAAGTTTTGCAGGCATAAAATATCATTATTATTACAGGTTACGTGGCTCTATATCATTCAAGTTTCTGGATTACTGCTAGTCTGTGTCCTGCAGTTCTTTAATTCTATGATTCTTGGATCATTACTTATCAGTTTTAATGCTTCTGTCTTGATAGCAAGGACAATTCAGGTATGTACTGAAATATTTTTGAAATAGTAAATAAACCGAGAGAGAGAGAAAGAGAAGTAATTTTCAAAAAATCTCACCCCTTGCATGATAATCTTAAATTACTAATACTAATTACAGGAATTACTAAAGAGTAAAGGAACAAAAACATTGCATGATCAAATAATAATGAATTCAGTTACGCTAACTACAGCGTAACTGAATGCATCACACTCCATAATTCTGTGATTGCTATTCACATTTATAATTTTGGAACCAAACTGCTTGCACCAAAAAAAAAAAAAAAAAAGGAAATGGACTTTGTTTCAGCAGGGCTTCTCTTGGACTTACGGATATGCATCCAGCAAAATACTCTATGAGAAGTAGATATATGTCAAATTCATTTTACTGAAATCTATTGTATCCCTCAAAGATTAGGAACTTTTCCTTCATTAACAGTCCTGTTTTTTTCTGATACTAGTAATTGTTGACAGCTTCCAACCAGAATATTTGAATTTACAGAGCCATTTGTGCTGCATCTCTCTCCATCTCTCTGTACCTCCTTTTAAGATCAGGACTGGTTTTTTTTATAGTTAGACAATATCTGCACATATTCCAAACTGCCTGTAAGTAACCAAAAGACAATTCTCAGATCTGGAGCTTTGAAATGGAAAATTGCTCAAAATAGTATCACCCGACAGTTATAATCAGAACATGCCTTTGCCATATTTAAGTGGGAGAGCTATCAAATAAATACATGGAAAGGCACACAAAGCTGTTGAAACTGGCAGAATCCTGCATCACAGCCACTGTTGTTTCACTGGATTTCAGCAATTCTGTAAGCATAATGGGGCCATCTCTGAAAGATGCCTATTTGGCTAGTCATAAGACTCAGCCAGATGAGTGAAGCCAGATAGTATTTATGACTTTGTCCCTCTGGTTTCTGAGAAGAAACGTATGAGGTTTTTTTCCTGGATACTTGGTTATGTTCTTGCTTACATTAGCCTAACACAAATTTGATCCTCATCAGACCTAACAGATAAGTAGTTCCAAATAGTCTCTGTTGTTTTTCTTCCAAATACATACAAGTCCTAAGTATGTTAAATATAAGTATGTTAAATATAAGTATGTTAAAATGCTAATATATTCTTATTTCTAGAAAAATCTAAAAAAGGGAGGCTTGCTTAGTAGGCTTGGGAAACTTTTCCTCCATATACTATTTGTCTCATGCTTGACTCTTCTAGTAAATAAACTCATCAAGGTAAGCAAATCGTTTTAGTATAAAAATTATACAGATTCATTGTATTAAAAACCTATTTGTTAAAAGGTCATCTACAATAGTGTCTTTAAACAAAAAACTACAGTGAGATTCCACTACATTTGAGAGAATAAGCTTTAGCAATCGAAGACTGCTTTGCTGATCTTTTTAGCATCCACACTTTAAAGCATATATTCAAGAATCTTATCGCAGCTTAACACTACCTAATCAAATACATATGCATATTCATATATTGAAGTTCATCTGCAGTTTTATAACAGGTGTAGATCTGTCCTGCATTATGATACTTCTGAGCATTTGCCAATTTTTTCACCTAATTCTATTTACTTTTCCAATGAATCTACTCAAAAATGAGTACTTGTTATAAAAATGATGTAGAATATCCCATACTTCTATTTGCTGCTTGTGCAAAGAGATCTGCAGACATTAGTGACAGTAACATTTTTTCTCCTTTGAGTTTTAGTCTTAACAAGAGGTTGCCAATTTAAAAAACTACCCTAGATTTTTTTATATTTAAAAAAAAAAAAAAAGGTAAATAACTTGCCCTTTAGACCACAGGACCGTGATTGCAAACTGAATGCTTATGATGTACTTCTGGTTGCAAAGCTCCCCAGTCTAAGTAAGTCTGTATTGATTTGCAGTTTCATAAAAGTAATGAAGAAAACCCTACAACCTGTTCACTAGGTAAAGTTTATTTTTTATAGTTAGAATATAATTACTTTTTTTTCCTTCATAGAAAATTCTAAATCTTGAGTCAGATGAACATATATTCAAATTCCTGAAAGCAAAATTTGGATTTGGGGCAACAAGGTATGATATATTTAACTGCAATTTTACTTTTTTCTATATCTGTGAAGTGAAGCCTACATGCTGTTACTCATTTAAAAACTGGGTCATAAATCACGAATCTTTACCTTGTGTTTATGTCATATATTTTCCTCCTAATAACCACATCTGCAGCTTCATTATTGCTTGGAAAAAAGGAAACTTTGGTCCTTTTTGGCATCAAGTTATGAAATGCACGATGACAAGGATTATTCTTTTTTCTTTAGAGATTTTGATGCTAACCTGTATCTTTGTGAAGAAGCTTTTGGTTTACTGCCATTAAATACTTTTACAAGACTCTCGGATACATTACTTTTTTACGTCTACATATTTGTTCTCTTCCCTATGACAGTAGCAGCTGCAATTGTTGCCTTTCAGAACCTCAGGTACAGTCTGTTTTTAAAATTCAGATTTTAATCTTTTTTTTTTTTTTTTTTTTCTTCAACAGGCTAAGGAACTGGCAGTTGCATGCAATAGCATACAGTTTTCCTTTCTCGGTACTTGTGGAAAACAGTAGGACATGAGATATACAAATCAGGCAAAATAAGTAGCTCCCCATTAAAGCTAAAAATGTGAACTATATTTCAAGACTAAACAACAGCAATAACAATCTTTCCTCCTTTTTCTTTTTAAGCTACACAAAACAATGTTAGCTTCTTTAGTTCATCCCATTTCCCCTGTGCCAGTCACTTCAAATTAAAGATTTCCTCTGGAGGTGTCAGTAAGCTACCCAGAGGTGAGCTGGCATAGTCCATGCTGAACTCCTCCTGATCTGCGTAAAAAGGTGGGACCAAGAGTTGCAGACTGCAACTTTGCTCCACCAGCTGCTACCTAATGGTAGTCCCCCTAGCCAGATAGTTCAGGTGCCACTTTAATCAAGTTACTTTTAGTCTATAGGATTCAGAGGAATTTACAGAAGACTAGAAGAAAATGAATGCTAAGCTTATTTAAAAAGTAAATGTAAATTGTAAAAGTAAACTGTAGATTTCTCAGTTTTACATTGAACCTGGCCAAAAATTAGAAGGGATGATACAAGACTTGGTTAATGAAAAATTCAAGGAAAGTTATATAACTAATGCCAATAATTACAGGTTTTATGAAAGACAGGACAAGAGACAGGGAGACAAGGTCACAGGGATATTATTATGGTCCTAGAACTATGGTAAAATAGTAGTTGTGAAGTCCACCACCTGTAAGGCATTTTGTACCATTTAGCCAAGCTCTGTAAAACTAACTGCATCAGTCAATTTAAAAACAAACAAACAGACTCTGCAGCTCTTCATTTTTGTAACTGTAAATACAGTCTCAGACTTTATCCTAATTTTTAAACACTGCCCAGTTATCTCAATTACCTTTACGCACGGGGGCGGGAGAGCTTTTTTTCCCTGACCAGCCTTCCACCTACATCAAGCGGTACTGTCCACATCAAGCAATAACCAGTCCTTTCAGCATGCCTTTTCTATAAGCTTACTTCCATTCTGTGGCTTTAGTAGAATCCAGATACACCAACACAACCCACAAAACACAGATAAGTTCTTCAGTTGCATCAAGAGCCCTCAAATAAGCCCTGTGAAATTAGGTGCTTCAAGCAATAAACCAAGCTGTTCAAGCATGCCTTTCTGTAAACATTTTTATCCGTTTTTAAAACAGCGCATTTAAACCCATTGCACTTCCAGAAAACCAACCATGAAAAAAAAAATACTTGATGATATTGTATCAAGTTAGTGCTATCAGGCTTAATTATATCATAGAGAGAGTATTTCCTATTGGAAGAATAAATGATTGCAGACTGATAGCAACAGTATTGCTCTCTAGCATCAGAAGGATAGATTACTTTTCAAAATGCATACAACTGTACTATTTAAAGTGTATGACAGAACTTAATATACAGATTGACAGAACTTTTTACTTCTTGTATTTAATCAGTGGTTCAACTAAAGTTGGAAAATTCATGGAAAATATGGAAGACTGCACAATAGCACTGAAGCCTGGGGCTGCTTACAACTTAATTCACACAGTTCTTTTTGGATGTTTGGCATTAAGCACAATGAGGTATTTTTTTTTAAAACGTTTTACTGAAAGTTTTTGTGAACAATTGAGTATTTTAGTAAGAGGCTAATCTGCTATGGCCATGAACCTTCCTTATCTCTGTCTGCTCCTGGTGCGCTTCTAGACTGAGACGCTTCCCAAAAGTTCTGCCACAAAGTTTTTGGGAGCAGAGTTGTGCTGAAGAGTTCATGAGAGAGGGCAAAGTTGATATTTTACTCAATTCTTTCAGTGTCCTGAAAGACCAAGAAAGTTGTTTTCAAAATTTTTCTAACATAGCTGATCTTATCAGCACAGTTTAGCAGAGCTCCGGATAATCAGCAAAAACTTGTCTGTATTCTTCCAGAATGAAGTACCTCTGGACATCCCACATGTGTGTATTTGCATCTTTTGGTCTTTGTAGTACAGAAGTATGGGGACTTATCCTGAAATGTGTTCGTCTCTACACATCACAAAGGGTTAGCACTATTCCTACTGCATTTTATGAAATTGTTTGCCCCAAAGCGGAGACACTCAAGACTCAGAGTTATACGCTATGTATCAAATGAGTAATGTTTTGTATTCCCCTTAGACTAGCTATTTCTAAAGTGTATTTGTGTAAACCAATGAGGGAAATGTATTTTCTAATGTTTATATATTAAACAATTCCATTTGAATACACTAGATGGCAATATAGATGCAGCTGTGAAAAATAACTACACTTTTACTAAAATGTCTTAGTCACTATATTAAGAAAGCAGCAGCCTGAACAGAAATTTGCACTCTTATACTGAGTGATACAGTGTTTTTTTTTTTTTTCACTTCATAGTTTAAGTATGCAGATATAAACCATCAGTTTGTGGTAGTTTAGTTTTTCTGTAGATTATGTTACTTTTTTAAATAAGGGTTTTCTTTGAAACAGAATTAGAATATGATCTTAAAATTCCACTCCATGATAAACCTATCAGGTATCAATACATTGAAAGTTAAGTCTATGCAAATAAATGCATTACCAGAACTAATTAATGTTTATTTTTGTGATTTCTCTTAGGCATATATGATTAAATATTCTCTACCAATAATTACATTACTGTACATTTCATATAAGGTAAGATTCTTTTCTCTCAACATATTGAGATTTTTAGTTGCATAGGATTTTCCTTTTCTGCTAAAGGGATGTTGCTTTATATATAATTAAATACAAGATTTATAGCTGAATTTTAAGAATGATGATAGCCTGCTTAAATTGCATATGCATTTATGCGTACAAAATTGTACTTAAAGGGTCACTTAAGCACATGTGATCCAGAATACTTGTTCATAGACAGAAGTGTTTGTCTAGTTGCATGTGTAAGTTACGAGGTGTGATTTACATGCATAATTTTCTGAAAAGGTAAGCTGTCTGTTCCAGTTTTAACTATTAATTACTAAGTTGCAGATAAGGTACAGATTGTTAAACTATGTAATGAAAGAAATAATCCTAGTGTTCTATACTAATGTATCTCATCTGATAGGTTTTAAAGTAAAGTATACAGAATTATTAAACTAGTCAAATAGTTCTGTTATCTTCAGTCTATCCAGAAGCAAATGATTGTTATAGTCAACCTTTTATATGAAAATATAAAAGAACATATTTACGGAATACCAAGCTAAAATAACATGTTCAAGATTTAGTCTGTCAATCTGTTACAGCAGTAAGGTTTAGAACATTAATTTAATGAATAGGCAGACAGTTCTTTCAATGTGTATTTACAAAGACAAAAAAAAATTCGCAAGCCACTTTGATGCAGAAATTGTTTCTGTAATACCTAGCAAAAGATGAGAAGTTTTCCATTAAATCATTACTTCCACAGAAACTCAAGGTGAACTTTGTTACTAAAGCTAAAAAGGTAGTAGTAAAGCATAATAGTTAAGAAAGCTGCTAATAGACTGAACTTTGGAAGTCTGTTGGGTTTTTTTCTCTTTAAAATAGGGAAGCAAATTCAAACAGAGGCCTAACAGTTTATCAAAGTAAAATTACACTGAGTCCACTTAAGTTTCCTTACTTTTTTGCTAGAGGACTTTTTAGGGATTTTTTTTCCTTCCACTGGTATGCTAGTTGGGGAAGTCATCTACCTACTCCGTCATCTCTGAAAGCAATTGAAATACTGCCATTTCTTTTGACACGGGTGGTGCCAAGAGCACAACGTTCTAATAGATGATCTAACGTGACATATCGATTAAGAACTTTCCAACTGCTCTTCATGAGTGAATCTGAAGTTCCTGAATCCTGTCAGATTCAATTCTGAAGTCAAAAGAAATTACCTTGCACTCTTACAAGCTTTTGTTCAGTCATCAGATGTGCTCGGTCTACCTGAAGAGCCTCATTTTAGTGTTTCTTCTAAATATAAGGTATAATTTATGTTGACATTAGGAATATAATTTTCCAAAGTGCTCAGTGGAACTAAAGAAATTCATCACCTCTTAGGGAAATTTTTCTGTGTCTTTCAAAAATCAGTTCTTACAAATACAGCTACCAAATGAGTGGATATATTTGGATATGTGTCTTTTCTGCAAAGCTGTAAGAGTTAGTGAGCCTTCAGGAGAGAAGCCTATCTGACACACTGATAAAATTTGTCATCAGCTCCTCTGGCAATGATCAGAATAAAAATTCTTACCGAGAAAAAACTAGAAACCTTCCGTTACTACTGTGAGAGTAGGTGTGTGTATTCTCCTTCCAAAACCTTTATAACCAAACTGACAGCACAAATGGATTTGTATATCAGAGACTTATCTCCTTTCCAGGTACGAATTCATCTGTTCATGCACAGTGAATGTTCGGATTGCATGAATATCTTGCATATTCAGTGCACGCACAGTTTTAACTGGCCCTCATGGCTAGTTTTTTGGAACTAATAGTAAGCAAACTTATGTTCTACTACTTGTTACGGTTACATTTGTGAGAGAAAACGTGCTTCAGCGCCGTTCCTCAAAATAGGAGTTTTATGAGATGATTAACCTAATCCTGAATAAGCTAATGAAAGCCTCTTTTGAGGCATGTGGTTACTACAATCCTAAATACGTCACTTGAAAAAACAATTTATTCAGATACAGATGCAGCTACAACACTATCTAGCGTTCACATTACACGTACAGCATGTTTTGAGTCCTGCAAGACACCTACATTTCTCTTTAATTAAACGTTCTTCGTTAGAACAGCACAAGCATTCTCTCTCACATAAAGTGAAAGTTCTGGAGCGTTTCCATGCAAACTTTAGCTATATTACAGATAACACAACCCATTCACATATATACGTATACATACATATGCAGGACTAAGTATTCTTTGCATTTCACGTCATACTCCGATACTACTGAAATTATATATAAAGTGTCCACTGCATTTAACAGAATAACACCCATGAAATTGTGTTTAAATGGACCAGTCATTTCTAGGTAAGTTGTTGGCACTTAAAATCAGTTCCTGAGCTTCAAGTCTAGAGTTTCTGGTTTTTGCCAAATTTTGAATTTACTTTGCTAGTAAAAAGGCAGTTTGAGAAGTTACATGAATGGATAATTTATCTTCATCATGGCTAAGTACTTTTGCTCCAGTCAGAGTTATATATCTGTGGCAGCACATAGCTCTGCTCATGCTAATCATCTGAGCAGTCAGTCATATCTTTGGCTGTACTGAAGTTCTTCGTGTATGTTTTTCCTGTACTTTTTGTTTGTATTTTTTAAGCCTAAAGTTTGTAAACTTGACAGCGTGTAGAAGAAACAAAAGAAAATGTCAAGGCCTTAAAATTGTTCCAGTCCAGATAGAATTGTTCCAGCCCAGATGTGTTACTAACTTAAGCCATCTGACAGATTTCTTTTCCTGAAGACACTGCCCCCGGAGACCAGCACACTATGCTTTCAGAACCTCTTTTGCATACCATTCTTTGTTCTATGTAATTTGTCATATCCCCATTTACTTAATTAAGGAATCTGATATATGTCATCTGTTTTTGGTATCCCTTACATGTGTGTCATGATACTGCTTTTCATGATCTGACATACATGATTTACAACACTAAATTGTTGTATCCGTATTGAGTATCAATTCGTATGCTTTAGTTTGCATTAATCAATGTTTATTTCCTCACTGTTACTCTATGGTATTGGGATCTCTGGAAGTTCCTCTGTTTCCCTGAGGCTTGACTGAGTGTAGTGTTATCTGAAGATCTTGCTACCTCAGAATTCCCTTTCCAAATGCAGTTATAGAAAGCCCCACTACCAAACTTTTCCTCTAGGGAAAGGCAGCTGTTTATATTCATTCAAAAGTTGTAGCAGCGTTACATTGTGGCTTGAAAAACCTGTATGGATTAAGTAATGCCATATAATAGTCCCAGCATTTAGTTGATAACACAGGGTCATTAGATTTGCAGTAGATTGCAGGGCAGGTTTACAGTATAGTCTAGAAGCAAAGCAGAGCACATTCTCTTCTGTCACTAGTCTTAAGGGTTTTCATCACAAGGGTTTTCTTATACTTTTTCCTGTGACATTTCACTTTGCAAGCCAGGGATCCTTTTTATCTTAAAAAAAAAGCAGGTCAGGTTTGGAATAGGTTTCACCACAACATCCTCTATAGCAAAGACTAACTCAAAGCCATCAGTTAGTTATTAGTGTTGTCATTATCTTTCTTAATTGCTCCCTTTTGCCCTTGAATACTCACTTGCTTAAACAACAAGAAACCCTTTAAATAAGTCTTTGTTCTCTTAGTTGGTTGGGGGTTTTTTTGGTTAGTTTTTCAAAATCCATTTCAGTCCTCCTTATTTCCTTCCTCCATATTTGATTTACATATTCTTTGTCTTAGGTAAATTTTCAAGTATGTTTTCTCCAAATAGTCTATTGGATGTTGCCATTTAGTCATACTTTTGGTTTTTTGGCCTTCATGGTTCTCTTTGAATTCAGCCTTTTGGAAATACATTAATAGGATCCATAGCACATCTAAGGATTTTAGGTTCTAATACAGATTTTGGGATTTTTTTTACATATTTCTTAGTTGTAAGCTGCCTTTCTAAAGTTAATGGCACCATGTTAACTTTCTAGTGCCTTTTCTCCTGCCATCATAGTCATTATTTGATGGCGTGACTACTATATCTTGAACTGTTACATGTTGCGTCTTTTTCTTGGCTCGCTTCTTAAAATTCACTCTGTCAAAAATAGCTTAAAGCATTTAAATTTATTCTCTAGTCAGTGAACGGAAACAACTTGTTTATAATATACACAAGAGTGACATCTGGTAGCAACTTTTAGTTTCCCTTGGAGTTTAAGGTTGCTCCAATTTCCAACTAGAAGAACCCTGGGACCCTCCAGCGAGGTGCATGTCTCAGGCTCACCACAACTGGTCATTCTGTTCCTCTCTTGTCGTCTGGTAGGAACTGCAGATCTCAAACTCTAAAATTTTCTATATGCATTATAATGGCAGTCACACAGTCTTCATAAGAAGGGTAGCTATGCTTTAGGCTTGCAACCTAAGCATGAGCTGGACAGGGTCAGTTGCCAGCTGAGAGGAAATAAAGACATCCATTCCAACATGCAGAGCTTTTCTTGTTCCTTCTGCCTTCAGTTTGTTTTATTTTGTCTTCATTTTAGTTCTGGCCAGGAATAATGGATGAACTGTCAGAGCTGAGAGAATTCTATGACCCAGACACTGTGGAGCTGATGAACTGGATTAAGTAAGAGGATTTTTTTCTCTATTTAATTTAAATGCTATTTATATAGATCTAATGTTCTTAGTTATAGTGTTCTCTTCTATTTGTCACAGGTCATCAGTGAACTCTGGTGACCCATGGGGATAGTTAAGGAGGAATGGGCCACCTAGAGGTTAGCATATTAATGGCTGCAGACAACAGTTAGATGTGAAGTCTTCCAGCCTGCTCTGGTTCAGTATTGTGGCACTGTATTGCATGTGTATCTGGAACCCGTTTACTCCACTTGCTCCCATAAGCACCCCTAGTATTCCCTCACTGAAAGAGGTATCAGTTTGGAGGTGTCAAGCTTCTTCCATAATATTGTGTCTACCTCTTGATATCAATAATACTTTGCATTGAAATAAATTCCCCTCACCACCTCCATCGGATGGCCTTCTCTTTTCAACTTTATAGTTACTAAAATTTTTGATGTACACAGTTGTAGGGCTGGGAAATCTTTATTCTGCAGTCTGTTTCTTGGACTTGAGAATAATCCAACTTTTTCATGCCTGGAGTACCTTACTGCAGCAGAACATGGTGATTCTGGTGTGCAAAGTGGACAGACATCTGAACTCACAGCTCTCAATATACCTACACTGAAATTAGAATTAATCCTAATGTATGTTCCGAGCCTTGAACAAAATTTTAATAGGCAAACTTCAACTTAACTTGCCAAGACACAGCATAGATGCGAAGTCCGTATCAGGAGTATGAGTTAATCATTTCAGTCCCAGCTCATCACTTGCTTTCTCACAAATCCTTTCTCAGAGAGTGTAGGAAAGTATTTATAAGGTGGAAACAGTTTGGGACACTGTGTATAGAAGATCCCGAGAAAAGGGATGGGATAGGTAGGGCATTCTCTGGAAGACTGTGAACTTAAAGGATATGTTCTATGACATAAGGTCACCACTAAAAACTTTTAGGTTAAGTTCTGAACAGAGGTTCCTGGGATTTGAATATGTTTGGAACTCCAATTAAGCTTTTTTTTTTTTTTTTTTTTTTTTTTAAATGGTTTAACTGTTCTTGAGGAAAATATTCTGAAAGGAAATCTGAATGTACTACATTTAGCCCTGAACTGTTTGAAATACTTCCTTGGAGCACTGTGTTGTGTTTTTGCATACAGTCAACCAGCAGTTGAAGCCCATTCCACCCATAGCAACGTTTTTATGCTCTGTAATGTTGTATTTCTTTAGTCCATCAGCTAGAAGGAGTAATTTACAAGCAAAATATATTGCAAGCCTTCACTGACTTATTTTGAAAGCAGGCCATGTTTTTTCCATCATTTAGTATGTCTGTAGCCATATTGACACGTTCTCGTGACTAATGTTTACCAGACAGTTCCATTTAGCACTACTGTTTTATTAAGAGATGGTAAATGTCTGATAGTTCAGGTCTCCTGTGTACAATATATGGAGTTATATATAGATTTATACATAAAATATGCATGTGGAGTTATTCCCAGCCATGAACTGGATTTGACTGATCCAAGGAGAATAATTTTTCTTATGTTCTTAGTGCTGAGAATGCTAAACTGGTGCTTGTCCTCTTTGCATTTGAAGTCATGACAGACAATTACAGAGAGAAATTTTCTCTTTGGAATTTATTGTATTTAGAAGTATTTTTCATGGAAAGAAAAGTTAATTATCTATGCATTAAATACCAGTCAACAGAAATTTATATGTTCCTCAAGGTGGGACTCATTTTCTTTACTTAAATTTTGATGTGTAAGAAAAATATTTTACTGTACTAACACTTGACAGATGATTAACTATAGCACAACTGTCAAGTTTGCATTATGTTCCTTTGGGGTCAGGAACTAATTATTCATTATTAACACTCAGTATGAGGAGCTCTAATTTGTCATGTGTAGCACTGAATTAGGAATAACTCATCTGTACTGCAGTCTCTCCACATCTAGAAGACCCTTCTGTCTGCTTGGATCTAAATGCATATTAACTTTTCCAAATATACAGTCTGAATAATAGCCAACTCTTTGTCTGTCCAATGTAAAATGTCTGCAGGGTTTTTTTTTTTTTGTTTAAACACTATCCCACTTACTAAAATTACCATAGCATTTCCAGGAAGTTATACCGGTTTATATCTTTACAATAAAGTTTTTGCATAGTATTAGATTGCAGCTATTACAGAGCACATTTTTGTTATAATGATCTTACTTATCCCAATCTTCTGCTTTTTTTCCACCTACCACCTCACTTTTAATGTATTCTAGCTTTAAAAAAAAAAAAAAAACTACCAATGACCCAGGGTAGTTTACAGCTCTGGTCCCACACTGGAGGACCATAAGCAGTTACTAAAAGCATAGAAAAGCTTGTTACAAGTCTCAAACAGCAGCCAAACCAGTGGAAAAGTTAAGTGAGACTGAGACTTAGCACTGTATGGTTGTGTGTCAGGTGTGTTTGATTCATGTGTGGGGGACAATCAGGCAAATTTTTAATTATGATGGCATGTGTTCTCCTGACTAATGTATAGTGGGAGACCCCACAGATTTAAAAATAATTAACTAAGGTTACGAAAATGGAATACCCGTGTTTCAGTGGTGGTTCTTTTATTCCGTAGTTTCTGCAAATGGCTATCTGTTAATTTAAAGCCAACTAAAAATTTTAACTCTTCACTCTTACTTACCTATGTGCCCGATTTATTATCTCAAGGGTAATCATACTGAAATCAACACATATTTCACACTTACAGGTAATACTGCTACTTTTTAAAAAAAAAAAATTGTCTTACATTCTTGGACTTATCCTATGTGATTGACCCTTGATTTGTCAGCACGATTCAGGCACGTACTTAATAATGCCTTAGAACTGAGTTTATGCGCGTTGTGTAGGTACACTCCCTTATGAGAACAAAATATGCCTGCATAAAATTGAGGCTGGAACTGACAAAAACACACATCCTATTGCTCTTTCTTGGTGGCTATCTTTTTCCATTTTTGCTATTTTCAGTCCTTTCAAAGCAGAGAAAGAAAAGAACCTTGGCAGCTTCACTGAATATGTTTTACTGTCTATCATCTTCAGCTATCCTGTAATAATTTAACATAGTATGCTGGAAATAAGAAGACTTCAAAAAAAAAAAAAAGAAAGAAAAGGGATTGTAAAGTGGAATATTTGATAAGCCCTTTTCAGACTCTACCCCTTTTGCTTTGTAGATTCATAACACATCCAGATGCTAGTAAAAGAATAATCTGAGATTTGTCAGATATTATAGTTTTGAAAGCTGACTACAGAGTTCAGCTCTGGAGGATTTTAATAGAAACGGCCATTCTGTTTCTAATGATGTAACCTATAGTTGCAACGTTTTCCATTTCAGTAGGACTTCCTTAAAACAAATTCACAATAATTCTTTAGGAACTTAATACAAGAAAGAATTACTACCACTTTTTAAAGTTTGTGTAAGTAAAGCATAGACCTGCAATTCCTGTAAAACACGTTCCTTTTTAAGGAGTTATTCTTTAGTATTTACATAATTCTCTACATTCTTAAGCACAGATTAAAAAAAAAAGCTTCACACGTCACTTTATAGGGCTTAGTTTACCCATTAGTTCAGCTGTAATTAACTTGTTGAAAGCTTAGAGCTTCAAAAATAAATGAGATTATTTGTTCAAAATGCCATCAGGTCTGCTTGGAATGACATTTAAATTATATAATGTAAATCAGTTTGACCTGTAAGTCCTTGTCATTATTTAGTGACATTTCGTACAGAATAAATTGTTTGCAGGTTGGGCAGCGTGGTATGGAGCTTGGCAGAAAGCTATAAAAACAAATTATCCTTTCATTTTATACATCATTTGCTCAGACATTTGTAAAAATTGCTTCGTTTTTCTATAATAGAGAAGTGTCATTCAGTGGTTTGAAGCACATTAGCTGCCTTGGATACCGACCACAGCAGTTAGCGTCTGACTCAGGTAGGAGTATTAGAGAAAGGTGCTTGCATGAAATACAGAAATCAGGCTGTACCTGAAAACTGTGAGTTAATTGTCAAGGTTCCCTCTAGTGGCTGTTTCAGAAGATAAAAACTTGGTAACTGCTAAGTTCTTGGAGCTAGAAACAAGGAAGGGCAGACATGACAAAGCTCAGTGTCAGTTCCCAGCTTCCAGGTGTCTGTCCCCAGCGGCAGAGTTTGGTTTCTTGGCATTACCAGAAAAGCACAGGAAAAGAATGCATCTGATAGCACTGGTAGTAGCCACGTGCTGGTCTGGGAACCATCCGAGCTGACTCCAGTAAGACAGGGACAGTGAAAGGTCTTAAGCTGCACATGCAAGCGCGAGTCTGGGGGAAACACGTGCCTTCCCTTGGGACGCCCGACTCTGAGCGCCGTCGCGGAACAAGGCACGTAAGCTGCTTCTTCGGGAAGCAAGCAAGGGGCAGTGCTTCCTTCTAAAATACAGACAGAGGAGAAGGAGGTGGTACAGCTCTTTTAATGCCTAGTAGGTGAAGAACATGTTCACCAATAACGTCACCTCTTCGTGGCAAGAGTGCATGCCCTTAGCAAGGGGAAGAATTGAACCTGTGTCGTCATCTTCTTTCACAAGCATTTTAACCAGGAAGTTATAGAAAAAGGACACTATCGCCATTTCCTTTACCTTTCTTTTTTAGGAAAGGGGCAGCTACTCCTGCAGGCTATTTTGGGGCATTGGTTTGGGGGTTTTTTTGATTGTTTTAAAGTTTGATCCTGCAAGTTTGCATTATACTGGGCTCTTTAGAAATCATAGGTGAAGGATTGCCTTGATGAGGCCAAGGCAGGAGATCAGTACTGCTGAGCATTATGAAACTTAAACTAATCTTGAACAGGCACAGAAATGGACTTTTAGCACCAAAGAACTTTGCTAGACCAGGCATGAACACATCTGCATAGGGAAGGTGTTTTCAGAATCATCATTTTCTGTTTAGGTGTCTAAGCTCTACCAAGCCCCTCTGTGAATGCAGTCCGTGCTCTTTGCAGCTTAGACTAAAGAACTGTGTTTTGTTGCAGATTTGGGGATCGCTCCTAGCTGACAGCCTGTCAGGGCCATTACGTATGTCTCACATTAAATTCTAAGACTAATTAATTCATTTCTTTTGATGAAACATTTACTTCATGACACTTATGGCTTTGAATGATATGAAAGAGAGATTACGTATTTTCAGAATTTAAAATGAAACTGGTTTTATAAACTGCTGAAAAACGAGTATTTCAGTAAAGTTAAACTGCCATATTAAAAATACTAGCTCTGTCCTCGCTAGAGGAGATTAACATACTAGTGCTAGAATATTTAGGAAGGGCTTGTAATAAATATTAATTCATTTCTAAGCATTATCTCGTGGAAGGCAATAGTAAAGTTTAATACTTGGTCTCTTAACATTTTCAAGCCTGGAGCTTAAAGCAGGCTGAATTTATAGCTGTGGTTTCAAAAGGCTTCTAAATGCACCCTGGCGTGTCACAGTCAGGACTATCACAGATGGATGTGTGTGTATTTTAGGTGTCTATTCACATTCCTTTCTAATTTCATTTTACTTTGTTTAATGTATAGTTCTATCTGCTGTTTCGGTCTTTTCACAGAACACCCTTTGGTTATATATGCCTACTGACCACTAGATACCAGCTAAGCGATTGGCATATTATGACACATTTTTGTCAGCCTAATTACAGTAGTCTGTACTGCTTTGCATTTTTACTTCATGTCTCTGCAGTGTCCTACTGTTGTGTCTTTTCATATATTTTAGGTTGCAAACTCATGAGGGTGGGACGCAGAAATCATTTGTTCATTATGGTATTTAGACAATCCTGGAATACCGGGACTGTTATTTAGATAACAGTTCCAGGCGCTGGCTGTGCTTTTAGGCGAGACCACAACACCAAAAATTAACGGTATTTCTATCTAGCATCTTCTGCATCATCCCCCCACAGCCATACTTTCTGTAACTAGGGTGATTTTTTTCAGGACTGTACTTTATTTTTCTCCCACGATTATCAGAATAGGAAGATCAGTCTATCTCACATGAGAAAATAATCTTATTCCATTCATTTTCCAAGTGAATGCCAGGCCAATAACAAGAAGCACTTGCATTCAGATCAGCTAATCTGTTTTATATAGAATGTCTTATATCAGATATCAATCTAAGTCACAAAAATTTTCATGCAATAAAGAAAAAATTAGGATATAGAAATCTATAAATATTCAGTGGCTATGTGAATGCAAGAAATAGACGAAACATGGAAGTTGATACAGATTGTTAGGCTTGTGTTTTCCATAGGTGTTGTCATTAGGTATGATAATCTTTACACTTAAAGAAATAAGTTATGTATTTATTACTGCAATTTATTCGCTTCACAAATGTATGCCTTTTAATTTTAAGAGTATGTCATTAAAGGGAATATTGGAATTTAAGGCTTCATCTCAGGGTGGGGGGAGGAAGGGGGCACACACATTTGCTTGAGTAGTTTGCTCCCTGAAAAGAGGGGAGGCAGTAAAAATATTTTTTTCCAGTCTTTTTCCCTTCTAATCTGTAATAATTGATGCCAAAATGCCCCTACAGAGACTTATCAGGCTTATGAACATTTGTTTAGGTCAAACACTCCAAACACAGCAGTGTTTGCTGGGAGCATGCAGCTACTAGCAGGAGTCAAACTGTGCACTGGACGGATCTTAACTAATCATCCCCATTATGAGGATAAGAATCTGAGAGAGAGAACAAAACAGGTAAGAATACTCCAATTATTTTGGCTAATACTCATCCTTGTCACTGGCTCCACTGCACAAAACACCTGCCATCTCTAGTAAGACATTAGAAGTCATATCACACACTTTACCCATTGCTCTAGCTTATTTTCAGATACAGTTCCAGGATTTAATTTCATCTGTGAAACTCGTAGTACTTTGGGAATCTGCTAACTCACTTCTGGTGGCTGGTATATGTCTGAATAACTGTACCTAGATACTCAAGCTGGTTCTGAATGAACAAGTTTGGGTACTGTTGATGTTAATAGATCATGCCTTTCCACCAGGTTCTTTAACCCATATGGAGCGTTTCCTTGATTTGCCCAATAGTCTCTTCAGTTCCCAAACTAGCACATTACATTTGATATAGAAACCACCTCCACACAAAGCTGGGGAGATAGCTTTAAGCTATCATTTCTTATAATTTAGACAGTCTCTGAGAGCTTTACAGGCGTCTATCAAGAACTTTCTGCAGACAGCAGCACCATTCATTATCTTTCAGTTTTGTAGTGCAATTATTGTGCATCATAGTAGCTGTAACATAGAAACTCTAGATCGCTACTGGATACAGCATTTATATATAAGTATTTTCAATATACATAAGTCATGTGGATTATAGATGTCATTTCTTTCTCTGATTAAAGACAAAGAAACTTTGAAAGCACAGAGAAATGCATAGCAATATATTGTCTTACAAGTTATTTTTCTTCTTTTATAGATTTATCAGATCTATGCCAAGAGATCTCCTGAAGATGTTTACAGAATACTGCGATCCTTTGGCACAGACTACGTGATCTTAGAAGACAGTATATGTTATGAAAGAAGACATAGTAGAGGCTGTCGATTACGTGACCTACTTGATATAGCTAATGGTCATGTAAGTATTATATCAAAGTTTTATAAATGAAATGTATTTTGTTAAGCTTTTTGTAGAAGAAATGTAATTACAGTTTGAAAAAGCTTGGATTTTTTCCACTTCATTACGAGAGCGGGAAGTAAAATCTAATGGAGCTTTTCAACATGCTTGCAGTTGCCAAAAAGAACCCTGCTTGCTTTTAGTGGTATTTGGTAATTAACAAGGAGGACTTTAACCTGGTGAAAGTAAGTAATGACTTTCTGCTGAGCATCAGGTTAGCCGTGCACACGTAGTGTTCCCTTCCAGAGGGTAAATCGTGTCACAGCTTCAGCTCCCGCAGGAAAGCAGGCAGTTGTGCTACACCATTGTGTCAAGGGAATTTTAAAGCGTTTCTAGAATTAACATGGAGCCATAGCAGACGGCGTAACCAAGAGCAGATAGGTGACGCTGACACATCAGCCATTTATGATTAATAGAGACAATGGTCCTGTAATCTTAACATTTCTTCCTCCCACTTGTGTCACACAGTCACTGTTAGTAAATCTGATCAGTCTGACCTACTGAATGTTTTGCCAAGGCTGTTTTTAGTTTCTTATTATTGCTTATAACAGTGAATTGGCTAAAGATATTTCACAGATCTGTTCACTTTCATTACAGATCATGGATGGCTTGGGAGAGAATGAGCCTGATTTGAAACCTTCATTGTATCCTCGCTTCTGTGAGGAAATTAAAAAAAATCTGCCTTCTTACACTGTACACTTCACTAGAGTGTTTCAAAACAAAACATTCCACGTTTACAAACTTGCTAAGCATAAATAACGTTTCCAAGAATGGCTTCAAGTTCGGTATTTTAATGCTAGAACCCACATTAGAAGATGGAGAAGAAGTTTACAATTGTGTTACATTTGTAATACATTTTACATTAATAGTTTCTTGTATAATTACTTTCCTTAAGATAGCCTCATTTTGATAACATTCTCAATGTTGCCAAAATTTTCATAGATTCATAAATAAATGCTAGCAGGGACCATTATGATTATCAAGTCTGACCTTCTCAGTACCTAGGATATGCACTTTTTCCATTTTTAACCAACCAAAAGACATATGAACAGCCTGTATGACCACTGCAGAATACCTAGCCTATAAAGTTCTGCTCAGGGTTTTGGATTTTTACTACAAAAATGATAAAAATTCAATGAAAGCAGGCCATGCTACTCCATTACTAAGTATGCATTATCTTTGTGAAGCGTTAAAATTAACAACAATATTGGGTTTAGTCTTATGATCTGATCCTTCCTGGCAAACCTTTACGCTCTTTCAGTGCCTCTTTTTTGAATTCACTGGGGCTATATGCAGACATGATTTTCCAAGCGTATGAGTGTTTGCAGAATCAGTGAGTGCAGAATCAGCAAACAAGTTTAAAGAATAAAATTTTAATGATTGTACAGCATTTTTAGTGATACAGAAACATGCTGTTTTATAATGTTAAGCATTTAATGATGGAGTGTTACATATTTCTAGTGAGAACTAAGGTTGGAGCATGCTTTTGATACACACTGTGTGTTTGTATCCTCTTACAATGCTCAGGACAAACAAAGAACAAGTTTCTCTGCTTGGATTCTCACAACACTATTTTCTGTATTTGCTTTCCAAGCAACGGAGGATTCCTTTCACCCCATATACTCCAGCAGTAGGATACCAAAATTGAACACTGCCAGCCTTACAAGAGAAACATTCATCTCTCAAATTGGCAGGAAATTTGGGTATTTGAAATATGTTCAGGTACTAGAGCTTTGCTTTACAGTATTTCCGACACAAAGCTACATTTTTAGTACACTAAAAACTCATTATGTCCTTGGTCCTTATCCTGAAAAACAGGTTACAGGGATTCTTTTTGAACTGATTTGAAAGATTAAGTGAAGGCAGGTCTCGATATCTGAGAGCTTTGTGGTTTGTTTGTAGCCTTTTGTCTTTTTCCAGGCTAGAACTTTGTGAATTCTCTTGACTTTTTAAATGCTATGTAGATAACCTCTCACTTTTACTGTAATTTAGTGCTATTTTGGTTTTATATTGAAATTAGAGATCAAGTCTGACAGAAAGTCTACCAGGACTCTCCAACCTTAATTAGATATCTACTAGGATCATTTGTTTCTTACGAAAAACAGAATTGTAACAATCAAGTGCCTCTAGGCCAGCATTGAATTAACATTTGAACACCTATTACAGTGTTTGTGGCCTGTGCAAATAACTCAGTTACAATAATTACCACTGCAATTAATTTCTAATGATGGGAAACTTAAAGTGCTACTGATAAGCAAACTCCACATTTAATTTAATCAAGATGTGTAATGAGATTAACTTTCACAACTGAGCTGTGTTCCAATTCCAAGTGATTTAAATGTTTTCCCTTTTCAGTTGTAGTAAGGTAAATTACTGAAGAGATGGGAGACAGTTATGTCACATGCTCAAACAGTTTTATATTCAGTAAATACTCATTAAACAACGTTCAACATCTTCCTGCACTTTCATGCTAACACAAAAGGAAAGCGTGCTTTAATCAGACTGTATTTAAATCAAACATTGACAGTAGCTAGATTGTTAAACTGAGCAACTGAAACTCCTGAATAATTTCAGTCCTGTATCCTTTAATGAGGTTGGAGACCACTGCAGTTTAACATAATACAATAATAAAACATTTTAATTAGTATTAAAACTTTAATTAGGCCTGTAATGATGCATGCCTGTTCTTGCTGAAAGCATGGGTCAGTGAGTTCCTCAGTGAGTGCCTTACAGTAATTGAAAACAAGCACATGTAAGGTAACGTATCTCCAGGCTGTATTGTCTTATTTTAAAGTGTGGTTGCGTCTTTCTTTAACGGTGCGTTAGCTTTCTTCCAATTGAAATGAAGGATTCCAAGATCCAGTCGTACCCTATGATTTTCAGAATTTATTTCTAGATAACAGCTTCAACTAAGAAGTCCTGACTGTAACAATAATGATTTTTAAACAGAGTAGATGTTTTTCTTCAGCAGTCTCTAATATTGCCAAAATAGAAATTTAAGCTTCTTGTAGAAACTACAAAGTGAAAAAAAATTACAAAGTAGAACCTAAGATAGCTTTGTTCCTCAGAAAGCACTAAAAACACAGCTGTTATGATCCAGAACTACCACAGTGGCATGGTATCTTCTTGTAACACAAATATCCCCCAAAACAGCACAGCAGAAATTTGAGGTGTTAAATTCACAGTATTCTTGAAATTGTTTTCACTTCTGCAGTTAGCCATCACTAAGGCCTACACGGCTTGTGACACTCTTAAACAATTCCAAACATTCCAGTATCTGAAAATTTTAACTTTAAATGAAGAGACACGTTTCAGTGACTGATTAGTACAACCTTCAGCAGACTAACCTCCATAAAACAAAATGCCAAGAGGCAGACCACTTACCAGCTCAGCAGAGGGAAGGTGCTCATCGGGACAGTGACCCCATGGCAGCAGCTGCTCTCCTGCCCCGGTTTTAGGCTTGGCTCCAGAGCAGAGCATGCTGGGGAAGGCTGCAGCCCCAGGGAGCAGGCAGCCTCAGCTTAAGGTGCCGGGCTGTAGGGAACGGTGGTGAAAAGGGCTACGTTTCCTGTTCCTCGGGGCTGGGTGTATGGGTCGTTGAGACTTCCAGGAGTTACATCATGTTTTGAGAAATATTTTCTCTGCTTCCTGTGTCTTTCTACAATACGTGTTCATTGCATTAAAACTGTGTATTTTTTTATAATAACTTCTGCCTGTTCTTGAACTACATCATCCCGATGCATGTTATTTCCAAGTGGCTGATGTGGCATCTCTTTCATCGTATTAAGTATGATCCACCCCCATGAACAACACTTGTGGCAATCTTACAAGTAACTAGCTGTGTGAATGACACCATCATGATTTCTGCAATGTGTTATATATTGTCTGCAAGGACTTTTAAGTTGTGCATCATCAGTGGAATTGTACATGTGAAGGACTTTTTTAGATCCCAGAGCCAAAATGTTATCAAGTAGCCAGAATGTTTTAGAGGAGAGGAAAGCCTTTGAGATCCATAATTGTATTTTCATTTCTTGTTTCAGTATTTTGCTGGTGAAATCTAACATGCGGCTATTTTATAATATGTTGTTGTACAGAGCTGTAATGACTATTGCATACTAAATAAATTTGTGTCACTGGAAAATCACAAGTTTGGGTTTTGTTTTTTTTTTATGATGGGATGGATAGAGAAAGCGGTTAGGGAATCCTGCACTCCTTGTATCAGTTCGTATGGAGGAAAACAAAGTTTTCAGCAAGTCTTGTTTTTTTCTCAAGCTTGTTACATGGCACATATCACTGACTTTCTTCAGTCATCTTTGTGTTTTACAGGTTGCTGAAATTCTTTTCACTATTACAAGTTAAAGAGGTATCGGTCATGAGTGTTACCAAGTCACTCCATGCACTTAGCTTTAACAGGGCCAGTAGACTGTCTGAGGAAATTATACTAATTTAAATAAATATAATTTGCTTTTGACCCCTACAGATCCACTGCTAGTTTCCTCATTGTAGCTCAAGCTTTAGTAATCTTTATTCCATGAATTAGGATTATTTGATTTAGGATGTCCTGATATAGGCACACTTTTGAAAATCTAGAACTCCTGTCAGTGGGTGGAATGAGATGCACAGAGGTATACAGCTGACTCTTCAGCACATCTGGTTTTTTTTTTTTCCATCTTCAGTGCCTGAGTACAACGTCTTTGCACATGTAATGCCAGTCTTAAGAGACTTTTTTTTTGAGGGTCAGCAATGTTAATTAGGAACAAACTGAGATGTTCCATAAGATTATTCATGTAATTAATGGAATGTAATCATAAGGTGGACTGCTGATAGATGCTGTATTCCAGAGAACCAGGGTCCTCAAAACCTTCTCATCCATCAACAATTATCAACAGCCTGGTGCAAGCTATTTATTGAAATCCCCAAGAAATGGCCATGTTTTCCATCATTTCTATAATTAAGGAACTGCTTGACTGCCTCCTAATCTCCTAATCCTGCGCCTTTTGCAGCTAAGGTTTCCCTTCTAAACCTGCTGGTACTAGCCAGTAGGTCAGACTTAAGGACAAGCAGCTTTTGTATGGCTTGGCTACATGTTATACTTGGAATGTTATTTTAAAAGGGGGGAAAAACACAAAGATTAATGTAGTTGACAGGCAGACAGATCAAATACCACTATCCACAAGATTATTTGACTTTCAGACTTTTACAAATAGTTTATACTAAATAAAATGGTCTTACTACATGTTAAAGTCTGTAAGACCTTGGAAGAAGATTAATAAAAGTACCAGACTACTGAAACTCCATCTACCTAGGGACCTACTGTTATTTTTTTTAATATTATTATTTAAATTTTTCCTTCCCCCTTATCCATTGCAATGCTTTTTGTTGTCTGGCCAGCTGTCCCTGTTCTTGAGATGTCAGTGCCACACTGCGATGAGCTTTTTTGGGTACAGAAATGCCAGAATGTTTGTCTCTGTAAAAGTGGAAGAAGCAAAGAGAGAGCGAGAGATGTGATTGCAGGACTTGTACAGTAATTAGACCAGTGGCACTGAGAGCGCTAAATTAACTGAACTGATTAGTAATCCCTAGAAAGAGAAAAGGTGGTTTTAATAGGGCACGGCACCAGCAAATGAGTAGCTCCTATTACTGAGCTTGTATCCTTACAAGGTAAGTACCTACAGCATTTGTTTGCAGTTCTTTATATTTTTCTGACATTTTGTTTTATCCTGTATAGTCCATATAGCCCAAGTCTACCTGCAGTTACAAATACAAACAGCCATGCTGAGTGTATCACTATTTATATGTATGTGTTTGCAGCTCAGTATCATAGCTTGTATTTAAGGACGAACTAGAGCAGCAGCTTCAGGTTGGCTTCTAAAAAAATTGCCTGTTTTGGAATGGTTTGGGCCTGGTAACAGGCGAGAGCGCAACCTCAGCAATTCTGTGACTATGGCAAGCAACCCAATCCCTGTGTGTGTGTGTGTGTGTGTGTGTGTGTGTGTTTCCTCCTCGGCAAGCTGCAGACCTGGGTTCTTCTACCTTGCTTGTAAGCTCACCTGATGACCATGTAGGTACTTCATGACCAGACAGAAGCGCTTCAACAAAAGGGATGGGATGGAGACCTCTGGCTCACAGATGGTTATCTGGGAAGGTGAGAGAGTTAATTTTGCCAGATGCTCAGTAACTAGTTTAACTGCAAAGAACTTGGAGCAAGGCACCCCGACTGCTCTCTTGATTGTATTTTGTTACAAACCTCAACCTGGTAGTCATGGTGGGAATCAAGGAATATAACAGGCGAGGGAGGACGAAGAAAGAGAAGTTACTTCTCTTAAAATAACTGGCAGATTTTCGAGATACGTTAGTTTGTTGCAGTTTGTCCTGCCTGTCTAGTCTGAAGAGCGATTGACCATCTACCGTCTGCACGCGTACACGTGTCCTGCTGCAAACTGTGACTGTAAGCCTCAGCGTGCATGCATACGTGTCAGCGTCTCAGCTCCCACATCCCAGGCAGAGGGTTGCTTGTAGAATAAGTAAGTCTGTCTGTGGGTAACAAAACTTGACTACCTCTGTTGAATGTAAAGTTGTTATTTTCCTTCTCCTTAGAAAAATCAGTTGTCTGTGTATTGTAAAAACTATGACCATGCCATGCGCAGGCAGAACTCTGACATGTGAAAAGAACTGTGCTGGTCTGTGGCCCCAGCCAGCTGCAGCAGCCTGCTTGGAAAAGTCAGAAACTAACATTTTGTGAGTTCACAACTAAGTTTGAGTCCAGGTACCAATTTCAGGTGGGCTCTGCTGTTCTGCAGCAGCTGAAGCAACAGTGGCAGAGTAGTGCAAAACATCTGCACATACAAGTCCATTGTGTTATTTCTTCAGTCCTTCTAGACCTAGACATTCCCTTGGAGAGTTTGCAGACTGCTAACATTCATCTTCTGTGGCAGCAAAGATGCATGAACTCAGCTGCTGGGAGCTCACTGCGCTGGCTGACAGGTCTCAGACCCTCCCAGTCACTTTACAGGAACTGCCTAGTTTCTTGCTTTGTCAAGGTTTCTTGCAAGTTGGCTTTAAGCGCTTGGCATAATTGAGCTGGAAGCCTATGCTGGGACGAGAACGTAGGTCTTTGAGGTAGCAGTGCACATGCAGACAAAGCCCATGGAGTCGTACTCATCCACAGCGTGACGTTTGAAGCTTACACTCGAGTTTTGTACTCGAGTGTACCAGGTGGCAGGTAGGAGCCCACTTCCCTCTACAGCTGTAATCCTTGGCATTCTGTTTTTTCATTCTGCTAGCTGACTGTGTTTAAGGCATTAAGAATGTGTGCTCTTGCGCAAATGTCACAACTCTACAGTCTGCTGCTAAATGAAAATAACTAGAGTTGGAGTGCCTAACATTTTCTGCTTGTGACTTTAGTCACAGCCTAGGTTGAATTTCACCATATGTCTGAATTCACTCATATGTCACAGAATCACAGAATCGTTTAGGTTGGAAGGGACCTCTGGAGATCATCTAGTCCAACCTCCCTGCTCAAGCAGGGTCACCTAGAGCATATTGCCCAGGATCACGTCCAGACGGGTTTTGAATATCTCCAGGGAAGGAGACTCCACCACCTCTCTGGGCAACCTGTTCCAATGCTCAGTCACCCTCACAGTGAAGTGTCGTCCTAGGAAGGACATAGATTACTGTCTTTAGAGATCAGCGTATTGTTCAGAAAGTAGAACACAGTTATATCCATTACTGACTGAACGGAGGGTAGAAGCAGGGTACGCAGAGTTACAATTACTAAAGTCATGATGTGAATTCAAACTATACATAAAGTGCAAGACCAAACATTTATTCATAGGCAGTTGAAGAGTTGTGTCTCTCTCCATCACCCCCCACCTCCTAGTGTCCCATCAGGTGTACCAACAGAACCGCAGATGCTTCTACTTTCTGCCTGGTACTGTTCAACTTGTGTTGATTAGAAAAACTCTTCTAAAAAAGCTTATAAACTCACCTGACAGACTGATTTAGCTAAAGTTACACTGACAGGCTTGAAACAGGAGTTTCAAACAACCACCTAGAAGCAACTGCTTCTTTCCTCAGCTCATCTTCAGCCAGAAGAGCATGCTTGACTGATGTCTGCAGAAGTGTCTGATCAAAGCTTTTGCGAAAAATAATTCAAGAAAATGCAAGCTTTAGTCAGCTTAAAATATATGCAAGGAGGACATGTCACATACGGAAGGCTTATTTATTATTTATATGGTGCTGCAAATACGCATGGCACTTCACAGGCAAATCAAAAGACAGTCCTTGCCCCAAGGACCTTACAAGCTGAATTACATTAAAAATAACCAAAATGACAGCATATCCATAGCAGTGGAGAGAACATAAGGGATACAGACATAATTACTGCTTTTGGGGAAGGGATAGATTTTTGTGCATAATATCTATTTACTTCGTTTTTTCATACCTTGGTTGTGACTGCTATGGTCAGGAAATACAGAAGCTGATGCACCTGACTTGGGAACATGACAAGATATTCTAACCTGTTTCCCCGCAGATAAGTGTTATCAGTAAAATTATAAAAATTGCAGACTATGTACTATCTGTGAATTAAAATTATTAAGCATGGGTGAAAAACGCATTTCTATCTTTTCCAGATTAAAAAAACCCACATTATCTGGAGCATGCAACTGTTTGTTGATTGTGCACTCAAGATTTTCCAAAGAGTGTCACAAATGATCAGATGTGCGTGAGAACAACATCCTGCTTGTACATTTGATTTGGGAAATGTGCAGATTAATGTAGCCTATACATACATACATATATAAAATAAAAGTCAGACCTTTGCAGCATGTTTGACATCCTCAAAACAGTTACTGATGCACCTGTAAGCAAAGGAGTAGTAGTGTCTTAATTTTACAATGCATCAGTGTACAATACATCATTGTTTTATGCTTTGTTGTAAAGAAACAAGAATAAATCTTAGAATCTATAAAACGTATTTATATTAAAGGCAAAGAAACGGCACAGAATATCCTTAATCGTGTTCTTGCTGCACTTGACTCAATATATACAAGTGGTTTCAACTTTAAAAAAAAAAAAAGTATGGAGCCTTCTCCACTTCAAATACATTTTTTTTTCCTTAAAAAAAAAAAATCCAGAATACTAGCTGACAGCAAATGGTCTGAAAAAGGGACTGATCAGTTTAGAATACAGCATTCAACCCTCGGTAACTGCTGTTTCTTCCTCTCTCTCTCTGTCCCCAGCTGATCCTGATTTTCTACCAAAAAGCACTTGAGTGCTGCATTGTTATGTGCTATCATAGTGCTAAAATAAATTAGCAGCCAGTATGTTTGTATTCTTGTAGCTAATTTATAGTTTTTGAAAAATTACCATCTTTGACTTAGCCTTTTAGCAGGGTTTCGTCTATCACAGGGTTTTTAGTTTTAGAAGTCACAGTGCTGCATGAGATTATTTTTTGGATATAGGAAAGATCTTAAGTCCTTTGACATTTTTACAACATCCACGGGATCTTGGATTTTTTTCTTCACTGAATATGATCAGTCTTTTTTATCAGGCGTATGCATACATACCCCAGGGTCAGCTCTCCCTGGCAAGGTTACATTTGTAGTTGGTCAGTGCTTCTGCTAAAACAGGTGATCTCCAGCTTCTCAAACCCCGTTCTTAGTAACGAGAATGATTCTACAAAAGGAGGTTTAGTGAAACAGTAACATAAGGAACAGATTATAGATGCAAATTACCTGTCTCAGGCTGGTCTTAAGTTTAGACTCAGTTTAGTAGCCCATTAGAAATGAGAAAGGTGAACTGTGGTGTTTGCTGCTGAAATTCCTAACTAGTGATCTTTGGGCCTCGTTTTTAAGAGGACCTGACCTCTTAATCTAGTCTGAGAAAAGCATTTAGTTGCAAGAAGCTGACTGGATGTGTTAGGCCTACGTTAACTCTTCTCATTGGTACAGCAGCATAAGGGGACTTCACTAAGTTATAATCGAAGTTAACACCATCCATGCTGCTCCATTCCTTTACCTGGACCCATGGACCCTCCTGAGCACCCCAAGCACCACGCTCAGTCAGCAGCCCCTGTAACTGAGGCTCAGTCAGGGAAACGGGACGGATACAGTACAAAACGGCCTTTAGTTCCACACAAAAGAAACAGACAACTTGCTTTTTTCTTCAAAAACTGCTAAAACTCCTATAAAGTATTGAAAGCACTACAGAGAGCATGTTTTAAGCACCATGTTGGAAAGAGGCTCTATGCATAAGCTAAAGTCCTTTATTTCTCAACTGTTGTATTTGAATGACTGAGTGCCTCAAGTTGGCCTTTACTCTTCCCATGTAGTTTACATCCCAAGAAGTAAACATCCAAAATGCCCCAAGGTTAGGTCCTATTAAATGTTTTAGTGTGAATTTGAATCAACTCTTACAGCAATTAAAAAAAAAAAATGTAGCAAGAGAACTAAAACTGAATAGTCTTCATGCTTGCATCCAAAACTTCCAATGTAGTAGACCTGGTAATCTACAGGTCTGCATCTGTATGTGAGTACAGTTCACTTAGTTTCTCAAACTTTGGTCCCCAGTCTTTAATGTCGTCACAGACTGCCTCTTCCTCCAGTCCAGAGGAACCCAGAGTACTGAGACTGCCAGCAACCGAGCCTTCTCCTTCAGTATAAAACACCTGCAGCGAATCCTGGGGTAAAGCCTGGGGCTGAAGGTCAGCACTTCTAACAACATCCAACAAGTACTGACCAAAGTCTCCACTAGTAAAAGATGTTCTTCTTTTAGTTGCTGATGTTTTGGTCTGCTCCTGCACGATCGGGGACACATCACTAAAGAAACTGTTCAGTTTTGCTGTTTTTCCTTTCTTCTTGTAGAAGCAGTAGTCTGGACTGGTTTGGATAGACACCTGGAGCTCTGCCATGTTGTATGCATCCTGGAGTGAGAAACCATTCATGTTGAATTTATATTCCCTGTAGGTCCCAAGCCCATCCAAGAATGGCTGAGGAACACCTGTGCAGCCTGCATTACTACTGTTGAGTTCACAGTCAAATTTAATTTCCAATTTGATTTTGTAATTAGAAGCTAAATAAGAATGATTGAAATGCTCCAATTTTTGTTTTAAAATTCAGATCTGAGTATTTTTTGATACTGAAAATAGCAACAAAGGTGAGAGAATGATTCACAGATAGCCGTTTAGAACAACTAGTTCTACAGATAGTTCAAACATCAACTGTGATTTCTGTTAAAATTTGATCAATCTGTAGAACAGTTGCAACTTATCTTCTGTGGAAGCAGAATAATTGTGTTAAGAGTACGAGTAAAAGCCAAATGAGCACCTATCACAAAAATTGTTTCTCCTCCACGAATTAAGGAATAGTTAACGCTATCTGATAATTGTTCTGTAGTTCCTGAATTGCTACTTCAGTCACTAAAGCTACCAGTACAGTACACATTAATTGCATTAACTGATCAAAATCTTGATACTGGCTGAAAAAAGAACAATTTTATCCTACAGCGTCCTCCATGTCCTTGCAGTCCAACAGTTGTGTCTCTGGACATATTTACAAACAAAAAAAGAAAAATGTTGACAGGCTGTGTGAGACAGAATTCATCACATCAAAAAGTAATTATTTGCATTGCTCATGCCACTCATCTGGATGGCAGCCATCAATGGCAGCGCTGTCAGTCAGCACCTTTCAAAAGATTACGTTTATTCCCTCACATGCTGAACTGCACATAACCATTTTACAAGCAATTAGCCTAAGCTAATTCACAAGCTGATCTTGGTGAGCCCTTTCCTGCATTTCAATCAGAGACAGAGAGCTGTTCAAAAATAAAATAAAATAAAAAAGTTACCACAACTCCGCAATCAAGAAGCCATGTCAGTGGCAAGACTAGACTTTAGGACAAGACTGTAATACAGAATAGCTGCTTATTTCCATTCATCCAGAGACTGAATACTATTAGTGATGGACGATGCAAGACCTACAGAGCGCACACATATCCTTGGCATGCTCTAAGTAAGTGTAAAACATTCACTAATGTAGGATCCCATTCTGAGCATTTTCTACTAGCATGGCTCCCAGTATAATCAGTGAAAGGTGGTGACTTTTAGTTGTACCAAATTTAAATGGGAGTCTACCCAAATAAAGATCTCAGCATCACCCCTCCAGTGAACTGGGTGATGTTAATCATCCTTCACTGTTAGTAGTTGCTCATTAAGATGACATAACATTTCTTCTGATTATATACCATCATTAGTTGGCAGTTTACAAACCCAAGACCATCCTTGCCTCTGGCTTCAGAGCTTGCCTTTAACATAACTAAGCAGCAAATGATGTTAAGTAAATACTCAGCAGTGCGCTAATCTGCTACAATTTTTATGACATCCTGATTTTCTGAGTCATATTTCTATTTATTTCAGATGCAGAAACTCCTTAGTAACAGCCTCTTGTCCCAGTAGTCATGCCCCCAGCTAACACTCCAACGACAAGGCTCTCTTGCCTAACTATGCTTGTGATCCTTTTGTTAAGATAACATAAGAATGTACTTGAAGTTTGCAATTCTGGGTACTTTTTAAAAGTTTTTTAAAATGTTTAAAATGTTTTTTTAAAATGTGGACAAACAATTAGACATTCAAAAATTACCAGGGAAGTTTTACCTGCAATCCCAGCAACTATGAAATCTTAATAATTGAGGAGCAGTGTACAGAACCCAGAGAGGCTTCACACTCAAACCAACATTTCTTCAAGACGACGTAATAGCCTCAGATTAAGATCATTAAGTCAGTAGTTCATTTGATGCTACTGCTTAACGTAAGGTGGGTATTTTAAGGAAGCCTCTCCAAAAGTAACTAAACATGTCCTCTATAGACTTCTATAGACTTTCTGGGGGTATATATGCAAAGTATTGCAGATGGAGTTGATCTTAATAATAATAATAGGATCTATTCACATAGCTGTCTATGCATCACTTGGAAAATGTTGTATTTAATACGTTCACAGTAATTCATCATGGAACTGAGGACATTCTACAAGTAGATGTGTATTTCCTCAGGTAGCCTTGTAAAATACTCTTAACATTTTATAACTAAAAATTGTTGAAGATGCTTGGAATTTTAATACAGATCATATTCAGTTTTGATTTTTAAAATCACTGTTTCTCTGATCCACCTGACAATTATTAGCTCGGCAGAATCACTGCACCTTTTGAACACATGAGAATAACTATGTTAAAGAAGGCAATGAAGCTCCTTAGGTTTTCTAACATAGCAATCATCTATTGGTCAGCAAATAATCCATCTAAATTACTCACTATTGTAGAATATCTGCAATTTTCTACCAAAGTTCTAGCTTACACTGCTGTGTAGGAATTAAGACAACTAGTAGACATGTTAGCGTTACCTGTTTTGGGCAGAGTATAACAGCAAGGTGTATTCCTGAGTATATTTCTGTCCAAAACGGACAAAAGCAGAAAGCGTCTTCCCCTTCCTCCCCACCCTCCAAGTGCTTAAAGGCTCAAGTGGAATAAATGTAGTACCAGAACTTCCTAACAAGTAAAGTCTGAATAACTTGAAGACCTTTGGGGCAGTAAGTCTGATGTGTGGAACAGCAGACAAAATGCCATCATGAACAGCATCCAAAAGGAAGAGTCCACGAGGAGCAGTTAATGCAAGGCTCTTTTAAACCCTCACTGCTACAGCAGTAATTGCCACAGAGAACAGCAGCATCTCTGGAGCCATGAAACCAAAAAGGGATCAGCTGCTAGTTCTTCACTGCTAAACTCACTCTACAAGCATTTTTAATCACAGACATAGGATCCCTTCCTTTCAGGCAAATTAAAAATTGATAGGCACTTAATTGGCTTTAAAAAACATGCACACTTGTGTAAATACCCTTGCAAATAATTCATCTATCAATTGCAGTAATGAATCAGCATAACAAGGGCTAAGGTCTTCAATCATAAGGAACAAAATAATATGTTTTTATTAGTATGGTGAGCTACCAACCCATTTATTATCGTAATGCAACAAAATGATTCTTACTTGGTCTTGCTCCCCACCGCCTTCTTCATTGTAGTTGAGGATATTTTCTCTGATGTCTTCCAAATCCTCATGACATGCAGGTATATGGTAAACTCCTCCATTCACACCTTGGTGAGTCTTCCAGTGAGCCCACAAGAACACAGCACTAAGCAGAACTGTGTAAACACATAGCTGCAAAACCCAGCAATCATTCAGAAACAAATAAAATATTTAAACACTGAAGTACAGCAATAAGGCTAAGATAACAGCTGTTCTACATGAGTACTGCAGTACCGGTTTGCAGTCTGAACTAGTAAGGCTGTAGTTTTGTGTTTCTCAGTAAATGTTTGATTTTTGCACTCAGAGTCATGTAAGCTAGGAATAACTTCAGTAAAGTTAAGCTGACGCAACTTCATTCAAGCCATAAAAAAGGCAGAACTAAATCCACAAGAAGGCAAGCCAGTAAGATCATTGGCAGCTGTAGTGCAGATGCATTTGTGGTTGTAGATGCTCTTGATTTGAGCATTACTTCCATTAAACTTCAACGTAGTTACAAGTAAATATCAAAGACCCTTAAAGAGTACCTTAAAGCTGTTTTAAGTGTAACAATTACTGAAAAACTGAATGACACAAACGGTGTTCAGAGACCTATTTACTGCACTGACTTAGATTTTAACAGAAAATGTATGTGAAGGTGTAGCACATAAATAACAATGAGTTGAAAGTAACAAATACAATTACTTAAATGACAGAAATGAACTATAAGACGACATGAGACAAAAGAGAAAATGACTGCTTTATACATATTGTTAGAAAAAAATCCAGGCACATATTTTGCCTTCGCATCCATAAATTTAAACATTTTTCTTAAATGCTTAGGGGCCTTTGCACACTGACAGATATGAAGCTTCAGGAATATCAGATATTGAACATTATGTAAATAGAAACTGGTGTACCAGTGTGCTACCAGCTCTATAAAGATACATAAAAGCTCACAGTAAAACCTCAGTTGGGTACTATGCACTAACACTGCAGTGAATTACAGAGATCTTATGGAGTATCTACGTGCCAGAGTGCAATTCTGTATAGCGGTGTCCAGATGAGCTTGGAACCAAAGCTTGCGAGTACTGAGATCTGTGCCCTGCACTGTGCTGTGCAGTTACACTCTTCAAGCCGAATCAATCAGTTTTGAGATGTATGGGGGTTTTTTCTCCTCCAAATTTACAAAAACATGACCCATGGACTTTCCCACACATTGTAATGGTTTGGCAAAGTCATTTTTCAGCTGAGCTGATTTTGACATAGTCAAGAAGTCTTTTAAAGTACTAAGTCTTAACATAGCCCAAGCTCCAGAGACAAAAGCCTGTTCTCACTAACAAGACTGTAAATCAGAAATACCCCCACTGAAGAAAGTATGTCTCTTCCATACAGACATAAACAGTGTAATCTAACATCCTATTCTCCGCTCAGCCCTAAATTTATCATCCTGCATTATAAAACATGACTGTCATTAAAAGTATATTGTTTCTTTGGTCCACAACACGAGCGTTAGGGCAGTTGCAAGCTGCAAGGTATCACTCCTTCTTTAACAGAAAAAAATGAACCGAAGTCTCATCCTGGCAACAAGGGTTGGGGGAAGGTTCATGCGACATCAAGCCAATGTGAAGCCACCCCAGTATTGCTGTAAGTGCAAAATGGTTTGAATGGTTTGAATTTAGAAGATGTAATCAGACGTCAGAAAAGCAGCTTTTTTCTAATCTATCGTAAATTTATACATTTATAGTTAAAATTGCATGAATTAATCACTTTATAAATGTATTACCACTCTTTGGAAACTATGCAAGAAAAAAGGCATTTTAAATCTTAAGAACAATAATTTTATTTAAAATTTTCCTAATAAAACCTGCAGTTGTTGGATAATACCATAATTATCACATCTATTAAAATTTCCAGCAGTGCATAACAATTGGCTTAAAACAACCATTTCTAACTCTTAATTTACACCTGAAACATTAACAGGATTATTAGGTAAAAATATTTTTTTTCATTCAGTCACGTGCAGGTAGCACCACAGTCAATTCACCATTAAACTACAATGAAACAGCAAAAAATGTCTCTTAACATAATGATCCTTTATCAATTTTAAGTAACTGATTCCAAAAGCTGCAAAACCAGTTAGCTTCCCACCTTATTTGCTGTTCATATTTGCATGGCAAACATAACACGTAGCAGACCTGGGTACAGCGATGTTTGCTTCAGGTAGCCATAGATTCAAAACAGTCCACAATGACTAAGACTCTGGTCTTACTACAAAATCTGAACTGATTTATAAAGCGCTATAAAAGCCAGGGGAAAAATTATATGTCCTTACTCAGGTAACCTTTCACGAGATTAGATTAAACACAGGACTAAAGATGTGTTCCTTCCTCACTAGTGAGATCCTTCTTCATAGAGTGACCCTACTTAAGCCTGAAAATGATGCAAAAGGCCAAAAGCAGCCGTTAGGAGCTGTGACAGAGTTGGTAAGATGCAAGAGACTGCTTCTGTCTGATCAAACGTATTCCTATCAGGCAGTATATTTCCCCTAGAATGAAATCTGTTTCATGACCAGTGGTATTTTAAACAGTGCTTAACTGCTAGTAATTTCTTCTCTTCCTGTTCAATTGAATTTGCTTCCAGTTACGCCAGTTTCTTGGCAATGAGGTGAAAAAATGGAGAAAATAAAATTGCACAGACTTTCCACAGCTGATGAGCATTGATTCATTTAGCAATATCTGCAAACAGGGATGAGAAACGAGCTGATGAAGCAGACAGCAACCATGGCAAAGTAGTGAAGGAAGATTTGGACCTCCATTAGGAAATCAGTTTTTCAGCATAATTCACCAAAGGTAATACAAGATGTAGTTGCCATAACTACCTAACAATGCCAAAAAGCAAATGCAGATGGCAAACATGGAACTAAAGCTCAAGCCAGCATCCTTGTGAAAGATCGCCAGTGTGACTTCACAGTTGCGTCCAGCGTAGCCATCAGGGCAGTCACACCGGAACTTGGTTGGCGACTGCGAGACACAGGTACCATAGTTACAGGGCCTTTTAGCACATGCGGTGTATACACAGTGTTTACCAGAGGCATTCTCCGTGATCATGTGTCCTGGAGGGCAACTGAAAAGACAAAAGCAAAATGAAACAATTAAACTTTTGAGAAAGTAGGCAGGAAATATGGCATTTAAGACTTTAAAACAGGCTTTGATGGCATTCCGTATACAGTTACTGAAATGTCTACTAGAAGTTACTTGTCTTAGGATTATAGTCCTTTCTAAAGCAGTCATACAATAAAGAGCTCCAGGCCTTCAAACCCTTACATCAATGGCTTTCAAAACTCAAGTAATTTCGCTGGCTTTTGCAAGATTACCTATATGAAAAATAGCTAGACTAGGACCACGGCCTGCAGTTATGTCTAGGAGGGAGAAGCTATGCTATGTTCTTTGCGTTTCCGTCAGAGTGAATTTCCAGCCAGTTAGATGTTGACAGTGTTTAGAAAAAAAATATATCTCTAGAAAACTCTCTTCCTGTGGACAGTGCCAATCAGTAACGCTTTAGGAGTGTCTTCACTGCATAGCTAACTTGGATTATAACTGAAGCGTTGTCCTAACCTTAGCCCCAGCCAAACAAAGAACTCTTAGTTTAATGACAGAGCGCTTCTAAATCAACTTGAGTGGCCTGTAAGGGAACAGAGGTCACAGCTTAAGATAGTTTCAGAAGTCAAATACTAACAAAAGAAAGGACATCCACATTGCACAACACATGCTCCACAAAAGACAGGCAGCCATGCTAGTGTTGAGCTCCACTCAAGTTAGCACAGCACCCTTTCCTAGTTTTCGGTCTTTACAAACACTCTAGGTTTGCTGCTATTCTTTAAACATTTTTCAATTAAGACAGACAGTCAAAATCATTACAGAATCAACAGAGATATGCTGATTTACACCAGCTAAGCACAGTACCTAAAAGCACAGTGTTCCCTGAGTAACCTTGAAGCCAGCATACCCATGGAAACATCTAGCCCACTGTTTCACTGTAGCGGGTAAGACTGCCAGTGGCAGCCTCCATGCTGAACACTTTGTTTGCATCCACTCTTCCTCACCTGAATCTGGAGGTTTTTATGTTTTTATTCCCACCAATTACCTGCATTCGTGCATCATCCACAAATCAATACAAATAAATTCCTGGTTACAAGGGTTATTCCTACAAGCCTCTGAAGAGCAGCCTTCTTTCACTCCCTGGGAACTTAATATCGACACCGGCTCCTTCAAGTGAGTATCCAGAGGCAACCTGTAGTTATTAAATCTGACATCCTTCATACATCCTGAGGCAAGAAACAAAGAGACTGTTTTAAAATCTATTCAGCAAGAATGATTTGAAGCAGCCATAAGATTTAGCATAACTTTTAAAGAAGGACCCAGGCTGCCAGAACTCAAATCTAGGACTGAATTTCCCTAAACTTTTATAATATTGTACTCCATTTTTTTGACTGAATGCGCTAAAGTTTTGATCAAGATTCTCAAAATTTTCAGCAAGAATTAAGTGCTGCTACAAGCCACTATCTGCTTGTTTTCAAGACAGAACAGGTATCTTTTTACTATGTTTTCAAAAGAAAAGCCCAAATATTGTGGAAAATCTGTAATATTCCTCAATGTATACAAATATAAATGCATTGGTTGATTTTTAATCATATTTTACAGCTTACCTTTATAGAAGAGCAAGCAAAAAAATAACAAGATGAAACATCCTTGGGTTACCGATAGAAATGGGAGACATTGTACTTATGATGTGTTACATGAATTTCCTATCCACGAGACGCCAGAGCAAAAAAGCATACGCCACAATGAATTAAGTACATTTACAGCTCTACCGCCCTTCACATTTCAACACAGTTACAGCTGCTTGACAGCAGCATTGGTTGTCCTTATTAAAATGATCAATAAACTATTTGACTTCTTTAATCTACTTACTTCAAAACATATACTATTAATCCAATAAATAAAAAAGCAAAATATGATCCCTAGTTCTCAGCATAAACTTTAGTTACGCAATTACCTCTAGTGAAACAATGTTTATCTTTTTTTTTTTTAAATAGTTTGTGACACTCTGATGTTGCACGTTGTTACTCTCTTTACTGTATATACACTTCATGTTTTTTTCCTAGCACATTGTGTTATTCCCTGGAATATTTTTATCTAGTGATATTTTATCTAGATGATATTTTTATCGTCTTGTTACAAACAGATTTATTAGAATCTGTTTAAAGATATGAAAGCCGTGAGAGGGAACTGATACACAGATACTACACACATTTAACAGGGTAATGGTGTGTGTGCACTGTTGATACAGAAAATATGCTGCATATAGTGCAGTAATCTTATTGTGATTTTAGATGGAGGGTGAGCTGCTACCTGAGGACAGAATAAAGCTGTTTTGAGTGTCTTAGCCTTATATTTCTCTAATTCCTCCTCTTATAATGGTGTTATGCTATTTTTCCAGGCTAAAACTGATTTGTTTTTTAACTGACGTTGTGAGTTTGTCCACTCAGTTGCTCAAAATTTAAATTGTTAGCTCTACTTCAATAAACCATTTCTAACTTTAGTTACAATTAGGATGCTTCAAGTGAGTGACTGTAAAATCCAATAATCCAAAGTGCATGAAGATAAGTTTGTTCTGTGCTATGCAATGCAAGTACAAAATGGAAGTACTCTTTTCAGTGTAGGGACAGTTCTATGTGGTAAGAAAGGACAGCTGAAGAATGGACTGGACATGAACCAGTTCTGCCTATCTAATGCAATAAGTCATCCACACTCCATCTGGGAGAAGCTCATGGATCCTTTATAACAGTGGTGTGGAGAGATTACCATCTTTGTTCTAAGTCCAGCAGCTAACAGTATTCACACATAATTCCCTGCTGTACCTTCTTCCTGAGCAGAATGATAGATCTGTCCCTCTTGCCAAGTGTCTTGCAGAAGTTCCATTTAATTTGGGCTCTATACAACAGGATCACAATATGCACACGTAGTTCCAGTAAACCTTCCTTTTTCTAGGTCTACATTCTGAACAGTGAGATCAAGAATTCCTCACCTTGAAAACTCTGATTTTGATCGAATGGATAGGTGTTTCCAAGGATCAAGCTGCTAGGGTCAATCACAATCTCTTTGTATACTCCTCCTGCTCTCAGAATTTCCCTCTTCCCACCTCCTTCATAAAGGCGAAGAGTAAATTCATTTCCAATTCTCTCCAGTGTGATATGATGCCATTCACCATTATCAATGTTGTAGGAGGGAAGGCTTACAGAATAGTCTCCATCACCCAGATTATATGAGACCATTAAGAATCCCTGAACCACCTTGTGGATAATTAACAGAGTAGTAAGAAAGAAAAGAAAAAGTCATCACCTAGTATTTTCTATCGACTGGTCATGTTACTTGAACCAAAACTTTTACGTAATGTTTAACATTAAATAAAATATTTATTTAAATTCAGTGTATGTTTACACTGCACATACAAAAAATGACTGCAGTATACTACGAAAGATACCTGAAGTGCTACTGAACTAGGCAACCTAAAGAATGGTAGCAGTATACCAGTGGTAGCATGTAATTAATTCTGAGCAATTTTACCTGGTTTCTCTGATTACACCACAAGTCTCTTAGACAAATTTATGGGATTCAAGTGATTCCGAATCTGGTGTATCACCTCTATATTGACAGCTCAGACCAACTTAGCACAGGAGGTGACCCATACAATCATATCTATAAAACGAAGAGAATGCAACTTTCGTAGGCCTACATCGTTAAAACTGCTACAGGCATCTTTCTTGGCAGGGTCTGAACTACGTAGAATCAGCCATTGCTGGCCATCGCTAAATTGGATACCAGAGCAGACGGAGCACTCATGTTGTTCTGTATGGCAAATCGGATACTTCACTGCAATGGGCAACAAACAGGATTCCATGGTTGTGCAATCAGTGTCGCAAGTGAAGCATTAGAGCCCTAGGTGCAGATAAAGGAACTCTGATTCCAGGGATTTTGTGCCTGGCATGAGGGTCTTGGTTTTATTTTCAACTGTTAGGCTTACGGTTCCCTTGGTTAAGCATTGGTTGGGATTGATTTAACTTTACGCTAATACTCTCTGGGATGTCTTGCTCACCTGCAGGGTGATGTGTTCATCCTTATTTCGAGAGGACATGCTCATGATGACACTGTCAGGCTGCCGTGTCCTAATCATGGCTTCTAACAGTGTCCTACGGGCAGGCATACTGACAGGAAGCTGATAGCGAATATGACTTCCTGGTCCAAATGTATATTCTTTGGCAACTAAAAAGAGAGGATAAAAACCTTTACATCATTTTGTAGGGAGAGGGAAGTGTTACTATTTATTTCCATTGTTTTTGTAACCAAATAGTTGCATGTAAAAGAAATGACTGTCCACAGCATGGACCCATGACATACAATTTGTCTTTGGGGACATGTGCTTTTATGTCTCCCCACAACTCCTCCAGTCACTCTCCTGTTTCATCTTTTTTCATAAACAGGTCATCCCCCTCCTGACTTGATCCTGCTAATATTCCTCCTTACAATGCTCACACAGGATGACAGCAGGAAAGAAGCGGCTCTGACCATGACAAGAGAAGAGACTGCAGACCAAACATTAAGCACCATAACCAGCTTTCAAAATCTGAGATTTTATAGTTGTCATTTTGCTGCACACTTTGGCCCTTTAAGAGACAGCAAGGAAGGATCCTACTGTATCAAAAGTATAGATCTCTTAGGCCAACAGAGTCTCTTTCAGATAACAATAGGCAACAATTTTGAATTCCAGTTGCGTTGTTCTAATTCTGCACAGTAAACTGGCACGCATGCATTTAAGTTTTCAATTATTAGATATTTCTGAAAGTGTAACTGTTCACTATTCCTTTGTCATCCAGTTCCCAATTAAACATTTAACATCCTAGTCTTCAGTACTGAAGAAATGACCTGATACGGAGAAAGTTATTTCTCAAAGGCAACTAAAAACAAAACATTGTTTAAAATGTCCAGAAATTACACTGAAACATGGCCTTAAACAACTAAAATATTAGGAACCATTTCAGCAATCGTTACCTGCAAACATTTTAAGTTTTCTGTATTGTAAAATGAACCAGCCTAACAATTAATAATGCAACAGAAAAACAGAGACTTCACCTCTATCACATCGATAGCCATAGTAACCTGGCAAACAATGACAAGCAAATGAGCCCCAGTCTCCAAGACATCTCCCATGAACACCACAGGAAGACGACCCCATGGTCTCACAGCTCCCATCCGTAAGCGTGCAGCCAGGGAAGCTATTCAGGGACTCTGCAGGAGACTGAAGGTCGTACACCTTCGAGAGAAAAATCGTATGACAGCAAGACATAATTTAAGAAACATTTACCTTTTATTCATAAATAATAATAGCTACACTGCATAACAGCTTGTTCTTTATCTGTATTTCTCAATATATTAACTTTGCTTTTTGACGGTCCGATTTTAAATTATTTTTATTAAAGTCTAGTTTTTAAATATTAAATATCAAGACTATATTTTGCCTTTGAAACAACTCAGCTGACAACGAAAGCAAAAAAACCCTAGCATTTCACAACAAAGCAGACAGCTAGCATAAGTAAACAGCTATACAATTGCCATTCAGAGGTTCCTTGAATGGGCGAAGAAGACACATGCATGAAGTAGGGTATAAGCAAAAGTATAGTTTTTAGCTCACAAATACATCTTTTTTTCAGTAAGAAACAACTTTTGTTAATGGAAGCAGTAATTATCTGTACCTAACTTGTAGCCACAATGTGCAAGCCTATTAAAAAGTTGGGCTGCTTGAACCTTATTAAAGCAAAACTGAATAACTGGCTGCTAACGTTTTCTTCCTTGCCAGTGAAACAAGATGACATGACATGTGAGCAAAACAGATACCAGCCAGCACAAGGCCCGGAGACAGAAGAGCAGGTAAAACACTGCAGTGTTTTGTTTTGCAGATGGTGGTGAATATCTCAATTTCTATGATTTCATAGTATTGCCAAGCAAAATGATTACAAAACAATCTGTAGAGGTTTAGTGTGAATCCCATGATGCAGACTCAACAGCTCAATTCATTGACAGTAACAGAGGCTCTATAGTGCCCATTACTTTGTGCTATCAAGCCATTACTGATCAGAACCAAGATATAACTGTCATCATAGAATGCATTTCAGATGCCATACAAGTTTCCTAAAAATTTAATATGAAAATTTATTAATGTTACACTTCTCTTACCTGAGTATCCAAGATGAAATTGCGCAAACAACCGTGAAAATGTCTGTGCAGCAACTGCGGGTAGGAATATGGTAATGATTCTTTTACACCACCCAGCTGAAGAACATGGTTCGCATTTAGATACCTTTGAAAATGATATTCATAATAATAATAATCAGAATGTGACTCTACCTTCAAATATAGGCATTATAGAATAGGAAAGATAAACAACATCTAGACTGCACTTCCGAAGAATAAAGGCTTTCTGAAAGAATAAAAACCCCCAAGTATTTTAACTACTTCTTTCTCTGAAATACAGTCTGTCAGTGCACAGAAATTTCAGCCCTTTAAATTAAGGGCTTTAAATGTGGCTTTGAAGTCTACTGGGAGTTTAACATTGTGAGTTATTTGATTATAATTCAAGTCTATGTGTGTTCGAGTCAGGAACAGCTGCGATATTCTAGATACCGTATTTTCAAGTGCTTGTCTGTGTGCACATTTATACTGCAGAAATAACAGAACCAGGACTATTTTTCATATGCTATAAGCCAGACACCTAAAGGGTAGCTCAGTGCAGTCTAAAAGGAACAGTGACACATTCAGGCGCTGCAACTTCTCCCAATCATCTCTCTAAGCCAAAGAATTCCATTTGCTTTAGTTCTCAGAGTTTCTTTTTGTCCGAGTTATCAACCCAATTTTCATTTTTGGTTTTCATGTATTGTTTTTCCCTTCCTTGAGTGCTCTTTTTATGACCTGGAGGGCGCCACACAACTGCTGACAAGGCATAATCCCAATTCAAATCACCACATCTACTGGGACCTTTTGTTAGGTGAGAATCAAATACATTCAAAATGTTCAGTCTAGCGGATCTAGAGTGCTCTGAAGTCTGTTGTGACTTTTTTGGCCATGTCTAGTATCTCAGGAATCAGGGTCGAAATTGCACCTAAAAGAACCTGGATGGTTGCAAGACCATAGCAGAACTGTTCATCACCAGTGAAAAATGAAATTATTAATATTATTAATTATAGAAAGCAGTTCATAGCATATATCTGAATAAACAAGTAGTCAAGCGTGCTCTGGTCCTTCTCTACTCTGGATATCTCTCATCAACGTTTGAATGCTTCCCACAGCTTAAAAGGAGGGAACTCTTGGTTCTGCTGTTCCTTTCTTCTGTTCTCCTACTGAAAAACATTCCTTATTTACTCACCACTTTACACTCAGGTTTCTCAGGGGCTTGGTGTGGCTTTTTCCTCCACTTTGGGAGATTTCATTCCACAGTGGGATCTTAAGTTAGTATTAACCTCTCTCACAAGTCAGCTTTTTGAACGCAACTTAACTTGTTCTTTCTTCCATCTCCTTGAACGCTGCACCCTCAGTAGCTAGCACTGCTATCAGAATAATAGATGATATTCAGACTCCAGTGACTGAACTAACTTATACCACCTTCACTGGGAATAAGAGTGCATTTGACTTATTCAGGTGTCTACCCACAGGGATTTCTGAGTTTTAATTAAAACAGCAGATAAACTAGGAAGAGGACAATTTATATGAAATTTATCTGACTAAATGCATGCACTGCAGATGTTAACAGCTACAAATGAGCTAGTAACCCTAGGCTGATTTTACAGTGAATGGAGATCGACATACTCTAGTCACTGGTGTCTACAGAGCAGTTTGTCTTATCCTAAAGTAGACATCTAAAGTAAGTTTTATGAGTTGCTCCTTGGAACAGCCTTCCTATTAACTATAAAGAGAGGCTAGTCCTACTGCCTCAGAGATAGACACTTACAACGAAGGCATCAAAAGTTAGGTGAGCTGTACCCCATCTCTTTTTTCTAGAATCCCTTGTTCTCAAAATCCCATACTTCTAGAACAAAGTCATCCCTCCCAGCAATCTTTGTGTTTCAAATTCTATAGGATATAACAATTTAGGAAGACATTTTTGTCTTCAACTTAGCAGCAAAGGTGTCCAAGATACAAATATCTTGACACAGACACCCCTAGCGGAGAGCAGACTATCAGGACTTGTTATGTGGTAGCTAACATGGTAGTCAGGCACATTAATCCATTAGAGCTCAGTCAACTTCTGCGCCATCATTAAGGATTCCTCCCATTCAGAGATCTGTTGAGCTGTCATCTGGCACCCTACCTTCATACCTTTGTTAAACAGTATGCCATCACACACACATGGCACAACACAGGTAGAGATGATGTGCAGTTCTTCTTCAACTCAAAGGTCTTCCCTCAGAGAACGGGTTCAATACCAGCTTAGAATGCCCCCCCCCCCAGCATGAACGTGCAAATAGACTAGCGTTCAGAGGAAAAAGGAATGTTATTTACAAGTAGTTGGAAGTTCCTTGAGAAGTGTTGTACATATGCATATTTAAAAATCACCATCTGTACTTAAGTGTATCTTTGCCTTTAGGGGGGATTTGGAGGGTGAAATAAATAAAAGAAACATTATAGTCTCCACAGATAATCTATTCCAGTGCTCAAGTACCTCAAGTACCTTCATCAGTACCCAGTTTTCCCTAAAATATAACCTGAACCTTCTGTACTATAACTGAAGGCCACTGCTTCTTCTCCTATACATCAAGAATATACAGCAGAGATTTTCTAAATCCTGTTTGTAGTGTTTTTTAACATACATTAAGACTTACTGTTTCCATCCTCAGTCTTCCCTTCTTTTGGTTATGTAACCTCAGTTCCTTCATTCTTGATAGGTCATATTCTGAAAACAGCTGATTACAGTTGTTCTTCCCCGGACTCACCTGTCAGTCCATACCTATCCTGCGTTGTGGTGCATGAAACTGGACCCAGAACTACAACTGAGGCCTAACAATGCTAAACAAGCATAAGCATTACTTTTGATTTCTTAAGGGCTTATGTGTGTTAAGGTATTACTATATACTGCTTCCCTTTTTTATATTAACGTGACACTGTGACTGTCCTCCAGATCTTTTACTGGTACTTAGGCAGTCATTCCTTCTCTGCTTTTGTGAGGCTGGTTATTCCTGCCTACATGCAATATGTTGCCCATGCCTTAGTGGAAAAGCAGAGTATGTTTTCAGGTCATATTTTCAGTTTGTTAAGATCATTTTTTATTCTAAGCCGTGCCCTCCAACATTCTGGTCACTTCTCCCAGCCTGGTGCCATCAGCAAGTGTAAAAAGCATTACCCAGTCATTAATGAAAAGGATACTGATACCCTTGCAGAATGCAACTCAAAACACCTTTTTCCTTCAACTGTGATAACTGCTTTCTAAATACAGTTTTCTAACCACTTTTTTCAGCTTTAACTGAGGATAAGCCACCAGCGCAAGATCACAGAACTTATTGCACCTTGGCCCTGTCACTTGGCTGGAAAACAAACATGGGTGGATTCTACGGTTCATAATGAGCCACAGCAGCTCATACCCAAGAATATCAGCACCAGCCCACTTTAATCAGTAGTTTACACTATAAACCAGGCTGTGAAGTGCACAACTGAGGTATGGGTACATGTGCACCTCCTCTGACTCTGCTATGAAGCCAGTAATCGTTTTAATCAACTGGAGACACCGATATCTTATTCGCCTTAACACGTTTGCCAAAATTTGTCTGTAGGAGACCTCAGATTTATAGGAATGAGACTGTAAGATTGCTCGAGCATTCAGAGTTATTGCCCTTAAAAAGTCAACTGGCCTAATTTTGTGAGGTGTTCAAGAGCACATTTATAGTCACTTAACACATAAAGTAAGAGGAGAAAAGTCCTGCGGGTCAAAGAAGATACATCTTACCCACAAGAGCTCCACTATTAGCCACATAGTGTTCTGCAGTTGCCACAGTTTCACAACACTACTTGGAAGAAGACTGGTTCCTTAAAATTTGTTTAGTACTTTAAGGTCAGGTCTTCACCCAGAAAAGTCAAAAACAAATACTCCTAGTCATTAATAACTTTGCTTCAATTTGATTTAAAAAAAAGTGTTCAAAAGCCTTAGACTAAACTATTTTTCAGTGAATCTCCAGAAATGTGCTGTTACCTTGTTCTTCGTGGAACAGACCCAAAGACTTCACAATTTGTACGATCTTCAGTAGACAGCCATTTACCTACTCCTTCCCTCTCTGAAACAGCAGCTGCACTGCAGTGATCCAAAGTGAATCGAACATCCTGTATCAAAACATAGGATTACTGAATTAAGAATTTCAGTATAATTCAATAAACTTCTTAAATATAATATCACCTTTTTTCTCTTTACATAAAAAGTATTTTTTTTTCTGTTCTGTTTTCCACCTTGCAACAAATGGTAAAGCCAAAACAGACCCATTTTACAAAAAAGGAAAAGGCACTTACCTCAGAATTTAATTTATATTTCTGAGTATTTTAACCACATTCACAAAACAGGTAACTGTATTTGCAAATAAATAATTATCTGCTTTATGTGCATAGATTTTTAGTCTTCAAACGTATATACACTGAGTGTGCAAATTACAGCTAACCCTGTATGCACCTTCCATATGTGCTGCAGAACTTTAAAAAAAAAAATCCAAAAAAAACCCAAACAAACCAACCCTCTGATCCCAAAATATAAAAGATTACAACATAGGTGGATTTAGAGCTGGCAGTGCAGTCTTCCCAAAATAAACACTTTTCATTGATTCTATGGGCACAGTTAGACTAACATATATAACTGCCCAGGCTCAGTTTTCTACATTTCTGTTTCCGCATAGGCAAGTGCTATGCAAATATCAATATTCTGATGTGGAAAATCAAAGAACTGACCTGATCACTGGTTCTGACTTCTAACTTATGCCATTTTTTGTCTGTTACATTCAAGTGACTTGGTAACTGCAGCATCACTGAACCTGAGCCATGGCTCATCTTCAGCACAGGAACACCACTGGAGAGTTCTAACACAATAAGAAAAACAAATTGAATCCACCTGCAAATATCTTTCCATTCTGGATATTTTAGCATAGTTAGCATAGTTAGCGATTGTACTGATTTAATGGCTATTACTAATCACACAAAGCAGTGTTCAGTACAGAAATGCTGGAAGTATATTCTATGAACTCTGTTAGGCAGGAATTCTCACTCAATATAGTATTGATTTTTATACTTTAGATTGTGCCACTTCTTTGTCAAGAATAAAGCACTAGAACTAATTCCTGATAAGCAATTTGTACCTTATAATGCTCTAAAATAAAACTAATACATACAGATTTTACACCCTCCCAACTCCTACCTAAACCCACAAGCAACTGCAAAACAAAGCAAAAATGAAGTTAATGATTAACAACACCCAACAACATAATTTTTCAAATAATTAGGAAAATATAAAATACCAACCACACCATGCATCTTGTATACTAAATAACAAAAAATACGCAGCTGTAAGCAAGTCTTTTAAACATGTGTCAACTTAAAGCAACGAGTTCTATTTCTGCATAAATTTGCCTACAATGGTGCATGGGAACTGGACCAATCCATCAAATCACTGCCTATTTTGAAAGAAAAGTGCAAAAATGCCCCAAGACTGAAAGCAGTTTAAGTGGATTTCTTTGCTCACCAAACTAGATAAGAATGACATACGACTAAGACCGCGCTGATCATGTAACACTCATCTTCAAATTACCTACATTCCTATATAGCAGCAGTGGGATCCTAGTGGGATTTTTTTTCCCTATATATAAATTTGGCTGCTCTGTTTTCACCTTGATTTCTACAGCTCTTTGATGGACTTAAATCAGGCTATAAAAATATAATACATCAAAGCAAAATGACCTATTAGAGCATGTTTCAAAATATTTTCCAACATTTTCAACTCAGAAGATAAATTTTCTCATAAATAAACTATCTCATAAGATAGAAAAAGAGAATTCACACTTTAACTACTACACTGTTCATACGACACCCATTCCCAAAAGACATTTAATTTTCTCACATGCTTTTGCAGAAGTACCTATTGCAATGAAGTTTTCTGTACTCCCGGGTTCTGGATTTGATAAAGGACCACTATATAGTAAAAGTCCATCTGCAACTCCCGTAATAAACTCAAGAGAGAGTGAGCTCTCAAAACATGGCCTGATGGGATGAAACCATGCATAACCATTTCCATGGAAACTATGCTTAGTCTGCTGGCAGTCTGGTCCATGAAACGAAGCAGGGCAAAGACATCTGAAAGAGAGGACACAAGACAAAGTCAAAAATACTCTCATATTCAATTTTTCTTTGGTTCTACATGCAACAAAACTAGCGCTTAAATCACACTAAAAAATAGCAGCGAAACAGTGAACATTGCAGTTGGAGTCCATGTACACAGGGGTGCATTAATTATTAAAATATTTTTATGAGTATAAAGCATATCTATCCACCATGCTATCTGCTGCAAAAAAGTATTTTGAGACCATGTTATTGAGAGAGAATACTCAAAATCATACAACAAAAGGAACAAAGAAATATTTTACTAGGTAAGTAAGATGGAACATTAAACACTGCTTGGTCAATTTATTACAGAGAAAACTCAGGGAGGTAAATTCTCAGCTAGAATAAATCAGTATAACTTAACTAAAGAAATATTGTTGTATGTCAACTGATGTTACCGTAAAGTAAGTTTCCTATCTAATATTGTCTAACCTCCCTATATCCATGGTTTAAACAACGTTTCACGTTCCCACCCTAGCATTACTGCTATTGGCATTCCCCTTTACTGTTACTCTTTGGGAAGAGGAATCAAAATAGAGCACATTTCCCATTCTTTTATACTGAATTAAGCGCTCTTAAAGATGACAGATCTCAATCATGTCAATGCCATGTTTTTTCAGAGCCTGGGAAAACCATACTGTTGCTTTTCCAAATTTTACATCTTCCCAAATCTCTCCCTGAAAGACTGTAGTCCAGGGCTGAAAGAACAGCATGGTTCCTACATCAAGTCAACTCTCTGACCTCGCAGCTAACCCCACCAAAAAGACATTTGATTTATTTTGGTGAATGCTGTTACAAAGATACTGGTCAACCTAGATATAGACATAAAACCACCAACTTATTCAAATGAATAAGTGTCAGATAGTGTCAATTCTCTGTTTTTATTTCCTCAAGCTGGATGTTAGCCATATCCAAAATAAAAGGCTCCCTATCCAGTAATCAACATCCTTGGCTTCCCAATCTCAGTTTTAAAAGATCTCACTGCAAATATTTTCAACTCCTGTAATGGTGACCTGGCTTGATGACATGATGAAACCATGAAAGAAGGTTTTCTTGGCAATGGAACTTTCATATACTACATGAAATCATTATAACTGTGTAGGAGGGTATAAGAGTATATATACCAGGTAGTGGGAATAACACAGAGAGAAAACTACAAAAATAGTAGGTATTTTCATGTGGATTCCCACGTTTTAATTCTTACTCGTGCACACTCCCCACTGGCTTCAGGACTGGAGCACTATCATTCGGCCCTTGACATTTTTGTCATTAAGTTTATGCTCCAGTACCCCTGTGGGCTTTTTGCTTCTCCTCCGGTCAGAAGTGCATTCATCACTTTTTCTAGACCTGAATCTTGTTAGCTACACTTGACATTTTAAAATCAAAAGAAAGATAAAGTAAGAGAAGCTGTATTACAAGTTTCCTCACCTGTAACCACTCAAAGTGTCAATACACCTCCCACCATTGAGACAAGGGCTTCGAGGGTAAGAGGCACAAGACTGATGAACTCGGTCCCTAGCTGGACAGGTGCAGACTGTATTGATGGTGGTTGTTACAGAGACAAATGACACACTTCCAGTATCCATCACTGTTGGGATGTCACTCACTGTGAAGTAGTTTGTACAACTGTTGCCGTTGCTACAATTTGCCCTCCTACATTCGTCTACATCGATCTGTGAAACGTTCACTTGTAAAGCTGATTGGATCTAAGAAGAAATACAGTTTAACAAATCACCAACCTTTTCCTAATGAATGCTTTTATTTACTCCTTCATTTCTGAAAAATCTAAGCCATCGTAAACTTAATAGAATGCTTTAGCTTCTTGAATATTAGTCAGTAACATCTCTGACAAGCTAAGTGCAAGCACAATGAATTAACAAATCCAGGAAATATTTTTAAAAATTTACAGTAGCAATATTTCCCAAAACTTAATCATTGACCTGATTTATAGTGAACGTGTTAAATCTATACTGGCCTACTACCACTATTTCTAAGGATCAAAGCTCTGACAGCAGTAATATTCCACCTTGTGAGCTGTGTGGTCTAAGTCACACTTCTCTGCACTTTTTGATAGCAACAGGCATGATTTGGCTCAAGCCAGGACACAAATTCTTCCTCATCAGTTACATCCAGGTATTACTTCATAACTTCTGTGATGGTCTGATGGTTCAAACACACTGAATATTGTATTCAGTGCCCAAACCATAATACAAGAGGACTCACTACTCTCACAGTCGTGTAAGTCAAAAGTAAATCATGGGCAACAGAGATATATCAATGTAAAACTAGCAACGTGAGATCAGATTTAGACTCTCATTATTACTGATGTATTTAATATCTTTTTTCCAATGTACAATGTAAGATAAATATTTTAAAAATAAGCTTTGGAAAGGACAAAATACATAAATACTAATGTTCTTTATCTTCTCATTTTACTTATGCTTTCAATTCAATCCACCGCTCTAAGAACTTTGACTTTTATAACCAACTGTCAGGATGTCCTCAAATATTCTAACATATACGGAGAAACAAAGTCCCAAAGGCATAAAAACCTACTGTATAATGACATGATATATCCTGCCAATGCAGTCTGAGTTTACTGTCCGCATCTATATCGATTAGCAGGGAGTCTATCTTGCACATTTAGACAGCTATGTAGTACTGTTATAGAAAAAACATAGTGTATATAAACAATCTTGACTCCTTTATGATATTAGGATGGGTTATTTTTGCTGCTAATGGAAAATGGTTGTGCTAAAGCCATTCACCAAGGAGGTTAATAAAAATATTATTTATTCAGCAATTCAATGAATAATTCCAGTGCTAATTACTTATTTGCTATATTTAAACACATGTACAAAAACTACTGGAGAAGTTCTCTGGCTGTGATGGGTTTTCTGTAGACTATTGGTGATTACTCACCAGAACTATTCATTAAATATTGAAAGGTGATATATAATTAACATAAACATTTTTTCATTAAAATATGTGGACCAATCCCCTTGTTACCACTTTGATGAATTCACCAGCCATATTTTATGACACAGAATATTTGAAATCTTTGCAATTTTCTGTATTATTGTTGTAAAAATTCTATAAATATGCATAAGAAGCTGCAGTTATGCTACATGAATAGCAGCTGCCTCTGATATTTCCAACTTGGGTCATTCTGAAGCTTCTAATAATCCACACAACTATTTAAGATACAAGAAAAAACATGTATTTTGCTGTCTGACAGCAATTGCGCAGGTGGCAAGTTAAGATATTCTATTTTAAGACATTCTGTTTGGTTCCCAGAACCATGCAGATGCTACGATATTTACACAAACAGAAAGCGCTGTTCTCTGCTCAGGAAATGTCCTCCGTAAGATGTATCACGTATTACATACAAATATGCCAAATACATACCAATGTGCCAAACAGGCACAAAACTTGCTCAGCAGCACATGCTTAATCACTGCATCTGCAAGACTTCAGCAAAAGCTAGAATCTGGAGGACTGCAAAAAATTGTACAAGAGCGTGGCCAAGAAGGATGGAGTCTGAGTAACAGAATTAGAAGGCATGCAGGATGTGGTAAGAGAACAGGACAGTTAGGTCATCAGGAGATAAAAAACATCTTACATGCAAAAACTATTTTTCCCCTAAAACAGATAAAAGGGGGAGGTCACATCATATTTAGAGTTGACCTAATGGAACTAGTTGTCTCCATCTCGCTCATCTGCTGTATCTCATCTTCTGAACTGCATACTCCTTCCAGAAGGATTCTTTTTGAAGGACTGTAGTTTCTGTGCACAGTAGAATTTCAGTCTGGGTGACATCAAGCCTCTACTATAATATAAATGTCTAATGACAGGTTGATGATTTGGACATTTCTATCAGCATCTGCAATGTCTGAAAAGCTGTCATTTTCAAGGCATTCTCTGCATTACAGTAGCACTTTGGCTTCTAGGGATGCTTCTGATTTCATACTCAAAATCAGATAAATTGCACAATGAGACACTGACTCAGGAAAACACAGGTGACTGTACCACGATCTGAAAAGGGAGGATCATCTTTCTGCAATTAAAAAGCAGTCACACCTATTGAAACAGAAATTAACACAACTTCATAATAACTGTACGTATGGGACTAAAGAGAAGGACAAAAACATTTGTGAAACAAGTATTAAGTGAAGCAAAAAAGTTATTTGTAGATCTAGCATGCTCTTCCACCAAGGTTTGTTTGGTGTTTGGGATCAAATACCAAGATTGCATGAAAACACCAGGGCACATACCTCATTTTGAAATGCTGCCATCTCAGCATGCAGTTTCTCTGGTCTGTAATACGCAGAGCCATCAGTGACGGAAAATCTTATATCTGTCTGTTTTCCACCAATGTTCAACACACTGAAGACAGTGATATCACTAAGCTGTGTTGAAAATATTTTTGCTAGTAATTCCTTGAATTTGTCGTGTCTGTTTCTGCCATATTCATCTCTCCTTATGAACTCCTCTGCTGTGACATCTGAGTTTGAGATTCATAAATACATAAACATGAAATACTGGGAGACCACAGGTTAGTCCCTCAACTTACTTCTTACTTAACAACATGGAAACATACTGGAAAGTGCATACCCCTTACAACGATACTTAAATCAAAGAATCACTAGGAACACCTAAAATCACATAATTATTTAAATATAGCAGCAGCTGATCTAACTCTCACCTCACAAATAAAACTAACCTGCTAGACGCACAGTGGCTGAATTTTGTATGGCTTCATTTTCCAGCTCTTGGACATAGATTTGTACTGTAGATATAACATCAGGCCAAACTCCATCAGAAACTCTAACTTTTAAGTTGTACGTTCCTTGGGGAGCATTATCCACCATCATCAGAGAACCAGTCCTCTGATTTAATCTGAAATATCTAGACATAAACTTTCAATTAGGGAAGCTTAATAAATCAAAACTGAAAACATTCTCTATTGGTTCACATAATTCAGAAGGCCTAAAAGGTTACTATGATGATTCTAGGATCAATGCTGATGAACATTAGCAAATAACCTCAGAAAAGGACTAAAAACACCTTAATTGCGAAATGGCAATCTGCAGAGCTTATAAGAAGATGTTTTTGTAACTTCCAAATCCCTAGACCTTCCCACTCCTGAAAAAAACCAAACAGTCCATCGGAGGCAGTGTAACCTTGGGGTTCAGTGTAGTGATCACGCACAGTAAGTAATAGAAAGTGATAAAAACAAAATTAAGTCTTTCCAGATTTTCATCTATCCATTTAGAACAGGAAAAGTCCTGTATGAAAGCTCTGGTATCACTTGCATGTGCCAACACAAAGGGACAGTAATTAATAATTCTAGAAATATTCCATGACCGTTATTATGGAACAGTAACTTCTTAAAATGGAAAACAGGCCCAGTGGCTGCTGACAGACAGAAACTCAGTCTTTAGTTTTGATCTAGATAAGGCTTTAAAACTTTCATTCTTCAGACTGGAGAGAAAACCTCACATTCATTTTCTATAGAACCTTCTTCTTTATTTCAGGACAGTATATAATTATACTATATGCCATCGTACTTTATGATATGGATAAATAACATACTAGTAGAAGTGAAGGATCTAACTTAGTATTTCTGTGAATAGAAATAACCCTACTAAGTTAAGAGTTATGACTGCCCATGCAATTTTAAATTTAGCCATCAATGAAGATCACCAAACTCACTTCCATGTGTGATGAAATGACTCCCTTTTAAACGTGTTATTTGTACTCCACCAACTCTAACATTTGGGCAGACGCATTAAAAAAACAACCTATTCTTAAACTAGGTCTTACAGAAAGCACATGCTTAAACAAATTAACGAGGAGATCTAATTAAAAATCAAAGTCACAGCATGACTCTGCATTCTCCAAAAAGAAAAAAAAAATTCATGTGTTAGAACTTGGTTACCCAAGTTAAAAAAAAGAAGAGTATTCAGCAGGTAAATTCCTTAAGTGGCTTTAAGAACACTCTCAACACAGAGAAATGCATAGTGAATAAAATAATTAAAGAAGCATAAATATTACTCATTTTGACAAAAATATAAGCCTTACTTGAGCAATTTTCCTTCAGAGAGAAATGTTTTATTGTCCAGGTCATCCTGATCTGGTGCAAACACTTCCCCAAGCACTGCTGTTGACCATTTCCCTGTTGAAATAAATTGTAATAAATCTGCATTTAATTTTTGCTTTTCAGTGGGCTTTAAATTCCACTGCATTCATTACTGAGTTTAGCATTTTCAAATTGCTGCTTGATTTGGTGATGGTTATGATCCACGTTTCTTAAAATAACACATGGCCTGTCGTGTGATTTCTGCTACACATTCCCCTGGACAGGTGAGTGACCTGTGGATGTCACACGAAGGAATTAAAACCAAAAACAACCCAAAACAACAATAAAATGACACACGAATACAACTCTTCATAAAATTCTCAGGCTAGTTAAAATCCCAAATATTCCACTACTGTGGTCTTTTACACTACGTACCAGTGGAAGTCAGCAAAAAAGGAAGCACATCTTCTGGGGTGCAGTTGTGAGAAAAGGACAGGGCAGAGAACAGGACATGGAAAAGAAGCCACTATTCTGTGCCAGTTTTCAGTACTTTTTTCAGGCTCCTGCGGGGTGTCATAAAAGCAGAACCTCCATCCAGCTGTTCTAAAACAGCAAAAGCAGCAGCCTATAAAGAATGACTCCAAGGAAGGTGACCTCTGAACTCCACAGCCAAGATCCACCAACACACAAGATTTAAGTTCAAACATGGAGCCAATCCACCCTAAAAACTTAATTCTCTGATTTCTATGGTAGAATCTGGTCACATCTATTTCTAATTTAGGCCTACTGAATTCAGCAAAAATAATTAATTGCAAAAATATCTTCTGTAGCTTAATTTTCTCTTCTAAATACTTATCAGAAATTCTAACATTGTAATATCTGGGTTATTCTATTCCAACTAGACTTGGCTATACTCGGGGAAATGCTTAATAAAGCACACAAGGGACACCAGGATTAGTTTTAATTTAGGTAAAGTTTTAGAGCAGTTTCAGCCAAAAACACGGTAACAGAAGGTCAAGACAAATGTTAGAAAATATTGTTTTGCTTTGTTAAGGCATTCTAATGAGAAAACGTTAAACATTCACTTGGCGGATTCATTTGGCTTGCTCTCTCCCACTGCAATGTTAAACCTCACAGCACAGAACAGTTCTCCTAATTAATGTTTTGGAACTAGATTCTGTGCACCACTCAAGAAAATATCCACAATAGCATCTTTTTTGTCAGTTCTACAACTACCTGATCTACCTGTTCTAGAAAGCAGTTGTTTACTGCATCCTGAAGATTCGTCTTTACATCTCGTCTTAACAAAGAACTGACCCAGCTTTCTTTTTTTTTTTTTTTCTTTCCAGCAGAAGGCCTCCTTTTCCAAGATCTATATCCACATCAACCACACAGTGGCTGTCACAGTGGAGGTGGGACTGGTCTACAAGGTATGGGTAAGGCTCATCTATGAATTTAAGTTGCTTCAGCTCAGCCATTCTCATTTCTTGACCTCTCAGTGATAGATACTTTTTGCATCCTGTGCACACAAACAAACCTCTGAGTAGGTGAAAAAACAATGAACAAAAAAAAGATTTTATTAGTTTATAAAGATATTACTTTTTCTGTAACCACAAATATATATTTCAGAAAAAAAAAAGCAAATATATTTGTTTGTAGCTAACAGTCTTTTGTTAGATGATATTTTACACATTAGGGTCCAAACTTTGTAAACAGATAAACCAGTACAGCCCATCTTTCTTATTCTTTATTTAGCACATCTTATTTTATATATTATATACTTTAGTTAATAGTTTATAAAACTAGAGTTTTAGTCGGGACATATGTAAACCACAAAAAAACTGCAAGAGAAATAACGTGCAAAAGAGTACTATATTCACAAATCTGATACAATATCTAGATAGCACTTACCTTTGTTACTGTACACATAGACTTCCTTATGGCCAGATTCATGGGAGTTGTCATTTTCATCACCAATTGTTATAGTTAGCATGTTTGTAGTGCTCATAGCTGGAATGCCACTATCTGTTATAATTACTGGCAAATGAAACACTTTCTGCTTTTCTCTGTCAAAGGACCTCAAAGCTGTAATGGTTGCTGTGTTATTTCTGTTGTCAGTAAGAGAAAAATCCAAAGAATTCTGATAATCTGGTGGCAAGGAAAATGTAAAGGGTGGCCCATTTTCCTCACTGTCCGGATCAAATGCATGAAGCAGCTTTGATGTATGGTTCATATATACCGTTTCGGGCCTCAAGATATTTTCCCAAACTACAGGCATGTATGCTGTCTCAAAACTTGGCCCATTGTCATTAACATCAAGCAAGTTAATCAAAACTGTAACACTTCCGGTTTGGGCAGGATTCCCTTGATCTGAGGCGTGCACAATTAAACTGTATTTCTGAATGACTTCACGATCCAGCGCACCCACTACAATCACATGACCATGTCGGTCAACTGCAAACTGTCTCATAGGATCTGAATCTGACTTGATAGAATATATAATCTTTCCATTCAAACCAGAATCCTTGTCTGTAGCACTCACTGTGGTTACTGTAGTACCTACAGGCATATTTTCAAAAGGGCTTGTCTGAATAAAATGAGAATGAAAAACTGGTCTGTGATCATTCGAATCTTCAACTTCAATCAGGCACGATGCAATACTAGAAAAATCAAGATCTTGCACTTTAATAGTAAGATTAAACTGCCTTTCATGTGCTTTCTCAAAATCAATTTTTTTTTTCAGTCTGATGGTAGCACATTGACATTCTGTGTCATTCTCAATGTAAAACTTCTGATCCGGATCTCCCCCAATGATACTGAATGTTAGGCGAGCATTTTCCCCAACATCTGCATCTGTAGCAGACACTTGCAGAACTTCTGAGTCAATGACATTGTTTTCAGGAATTATTGCCTGCCACATTTCTTTTGTGAATTTAGGTACGTGATCGTTAACATCCGCAATCCAGATAGTGGCTGTGCCAGTTCCTGTCAGACCTCCCCCATCTCTTGCTTCAACAGTAAGAAAATATTTTTCAGTCCTCTCTCTGTCCAGCATTCCCTCTGCTACATGGATTGTGCCAGTATTGGGATTGATGTTAAATAAATTGGTACCAAGCTGATTTTTTAAATTCTCCATTATCCTATAAGTCAGAACTGCATTAAGACCTACATTTGGATCATCAAGATCAACTGCAGTCATTTCCATGGCTAACACATCTGCAGGAGAATTTTCAAAGACACTCCCGTTGCAATCACCAGGCATGCATGTGAACACGGGTGCATTGTCATTTATATCCCACACATTAATAATTACATCAGCAAATCCAGTAAGTCCTTCTCCGCCTTCATCAGTAGCCAATACCACAAATCTCCATAGCGCTCTTTCTTCCCGATCCAGCATCTTCTGTGAATAAATGCTGCCGGTGTTCTCATCTATTGTGAAAACATCAGCTGCACCGTGCCCATGTAATGAATATCTCACATCTCCTTCATTCACATTACTATCAGGATCATTTGCCACAACCTACAGAAGTTTTGAAAACAAAGACATAGGAATTATAAAACATGCAAGGACTATATTATTGCCTATATGCTACTACAGTCTGAGGAAGTAGTTCAAGCAAAAGTGAATGATATACTACTAATATATGCACGTCAGATCAATGGCAAATGAGAGTTGGCTCAGGCAGTCAACTGAGAATAGATTAATTTGCTTTGCACCATAATAACAATGTAGCATATTATAATACTAAAATTATCTCTTTTTTTTCCATATTTATAGAGGTAATTTAACCATGCCAGTATACTAGTTATTTTAACATGTTAATGATCTGCTATTTAGGATCACAAATGATCCATTCTGCTTATCTTGCTTATTATCTCTGTAATCATTTTTTCATAAAACTCTATTTTTCTTCTTCCACTGACAAAAATACTCAGTAGAACTAAATTTCATTAATATATCTGTACTGGATTATTATTAGCTTAACCGTAGCAGTGTAATCTGTGCTTTTCCACTGAAATATTATAATCTCTGAAATTACATACACTACCTGAAGTATAAAGACTGGTAACCCATCCAGTTCCTCAGTTACACTTCCATAGTATTCATTGATAGAGAAAACTGGAGCCTCATCATTTTTATTCATTACATTGATGATGATAACTGCATAATCTTCCCATTTCCCATCAGAGGCCAACAAATGAATCTCATACATTTTTGTTTCTTCATAATCTAGTGGCTGAGCAATAAAAATGGCTCCTGTTTCTGGTTCTACATCAAGTTCTCCTCCTGTGTTTCCAGCTGTGATCTGGTACCGCAATTTAGCATTTGTTCCTGTTAATTACCAACAGTGTTAGAAAACATACATTTTTTAAAGTACATTAAAACATGGCATGTTAAGATGAAGTACAAATAATACAATAATTAATTTTTGGTACTACAGTTTGGTGGTCTTTCAAAATGCATAGTAACGTCAGATCATTTATCAGTATTTTCAGTTCTGGCATATCCAATTATAATTTGTGTCTAATCACAAAAACGTGCCTTTGCAATGAAGTATGAATGCTGCTTTTACTTACGAGCCCTCCAATTCACTAAAGGATCACTATGACTGGTCGTGGCTATGGGACCAAAATTTGTACTTGGTAGCACCCAGCACGTAAGAATGAGTTGTCACAAAATACTACATACAGCAGAACCATTCTGCACTCATATACACATCCCCATAGATTTAACCAAAAAGGGTAATTCTAACTGCCTACTTTGGCTTACCACACTACAGAATACCTTAAAATTTCAGACAAAGTATCAATTTGCCGATTATTTTAGATCAAGTGGAGATTTTTAGTCTTTCATTCTGCAAGCTTTACCTTTAAGTTACTGTTCCTCTCTTCCTCCCTTCTTTCATAGCCGTATCTTTAATCATCCGTTTTATTAAGAGGACAGAAATAAACAGCCACATCTCCCTCACATAAGGTCTCCTGATCCAACACTATAGAGCAGATTTACAGCCATCATAAGTAATAAACTAAGAGTCTCTTATGTAGGAAATTCTTCAGCAACAGCTTAGCCACATTTGTCTTGACCTCCTTACGTGGGTAAGGAACCAAATGCAGCCAAGATGTACTTGCACTTCACAGACATGCTGCTAGAACAATCCTCATGCAACAAAAGGTATGGTTCAACCAAATAGCCAAGTCAAATTTATAGTTCACCACAGTCAAAAGATGAAAATCTGTATCTCCCTACTGTTTCAGCTATGAGAACTGATTATGTACTTGTTTCTACATGACTTGCTGCTGAATTTCTTACGGATTCAGAGATAAACCAATACAGCAAAGACTCATACACTTTTAGGAAGTCCAATTTCAAATATGACAACACTGTTTTACAGCATGCCAAAAACAAACAAAAAAAACCCCAATACAACTCCGCTGTGAATACAGAAAGCAAATGAACCTCATTGAGAACAAGTCTGATTCATTCTAGTTAACCAGGACACTTTTACCAGCACCTATTTTTAAAAAATGATATGATCTATAATAAATTTGTATTTGCTGACATAGAAATTATTCCCCATCATTCCACATTAATGCATTGCCTTACATAATAAGTTATTTGGCTTATGCCTCACAGCTCCATTGTGAACTAATGTTCATGCCCCATCAGTTCAGACAAAGAAGTTTTAAAATGCAGAGATATAAAGACATTTTTCTCCTAACATCACTAAATATGTCTTAGTGTGGTGAAATTAACTCATTAATATTTTAGATACAGCTATGGGGAATTCCAGTACTTTACCTTCGTCTTCATCATTAGCGTTGACTGTAATGACAATTGAGCCCACATCCTGGTCTTCATCCACATTTACTTCATAGACACTTTGAGTGAAGACAGGCTTGTTATCATTCACATCGCTGATAAAAATGTACACATAGGCCCTGTCTAGAGAGACAAGAAACAAGAGATTAAAATACTCAGCTGTGCCACTTCTGTCAGCTACAATTCCTTAAACTGTCTAGCTGCACATTAAATGAAGATGAATATGCAGACGATACAGAAACAAACCCTTAGGACTGTGGACAAATTATATACCAACATTACTCAAAGGCACTTGGATATCAAATGAATGTCACATCCAATTTGTTTAAACAGAAAACATGTGAGTCATTGATGCCTAATATGGCAATTGTATGGTTTTAGTCATAACTTTTTGTCCTAAAGCCACAAAAGCCAAAGTTTAAGTCTTTATTGAAACACAGCCTTCCCAATTGAGAATGCAATTTTTTTTTTGTCTTGAACTTTTCTGTTTCATACTTCATAGTTACTTTCGTATGAACAGTACCATAGGCAGTGGTCTGAAAAAGTCCTCCACTACCCAAACAACATCTGCATCCTATGGGTAACAGCAGTGTCAACCCTAAAACATCTCTTCCAGCTCTGACACAACTGATGCAGACACAAACAGTAAAAAAAAAGAAAAGAAAAAAAAAACAGAAAGTAAACTAAATTTTAACTTTGCATTTCAGAGCTGCTCTTTTCAGAGATCAACCCACGTAAAAACATGCTTGTCACAATCATCATTTTCTTACCAGAGTTTGGCTTCCCACGTTTTCCAGGTCGAGCTGATTCAGAGCCATCTGCTGACTTGACTTCTAAAAGATAGGACCCCTTCTTCTCTCTGTCAAACACTGAGGTAGTGTATATTGAGCCTGTCTGTGCATCCAAGCAAAAACATGTGTAGTCTCCATTATGGTCATGGAGCAGGGAGTAAGTTATCTAAAAGATTAAAAAGAAGTTTGTTAATCTAGACCTTCCTTTAGTTGGATAGCTCATAACTAAAGAAGCACTTAAAGAGAGAAGGAAGTCTTGTGATTAAGAACTTGGCCAGGTGCAAGAATCCTGAGTAAAACTATCCGTTTGATCAACTTTGGTTAAGTCATTTAATTTACTTGTGTCTGACTGCATTGCATGAATGTCTTTGTAGGCTCATATGTTTTGTATGTTACTGTTGCTTATGCAACAACACTCAAATTCAGCTGAAGATCCCAGGTACTAATATAATAGCCACAGGTGAGCTGAACTCAGACTTGCTCAGTATTATGGACCGTGTTCTGATCTCTACTGTATTTATGTTTTGGTGTACCTGACTTCTGCTTCCACTGGTGTGCATCCTACAGAGGAAAGTTTACCTTTAAGAATATGTCTACTAAAGATTTTTGAAATCAGCAGTGAGTACCCTTCACTTTTGGGTGTGAACTTAACATACTTTAAAATGATTCAGTTTTCAGTGCCTCCAATTTACAACTCACAAAAGCCTTTAATATGTTTTTTCTTCAATTAATTTATCCAATCACATTTCAGGTCTATGCAAACCTTTCCAAACAAGACCATCCTGTAGCAAGGAGTTTTTCAGCTGAGCTATAGGTTGTACAAAGAAATATCTCTTCTTGTTTCGTTTAGATTTCACGCTTGCTAGTTTTAGCTGCATTTTTCACTGTTTTATATCATGTGCAGTTCACTGTTCTATATCATGTTCCCCTATTAGTCATACCTTTTCCAGGCTGATGATTTCTAGTCTATTTAGTCATTCTTCATACAGAAGATGTACCTGAAGATGTAGGTCCTCATTTGCTTACCTCACCATTCAGACCAAGGTCAAGGTCAGTAGCAGAGACTCGAACAACGAATGTCCCAACACCAGCTCCCTCTGCTACTGAGGCTTCATAAACAGACGAAGTGAAGAACGGGACATTATCATTGACATCTAAGACAGCAAAAAGAGTGCATAAATAGAAAGTTGTAAAAAGTAAAAAAAAAAAAAAAATACCGTGATTACATTAGAGCATCACTACACAGCTTACACACCTGTTACGTTAATATAGACTGTAGCAAATGCTGCCAGAGGAACTGCAGCAACATTCTGTGCTCGAACCCTCAGCAGAAAGCTCTTTGTTGTTTCATAATCTAGTGGCTCAGCTACCAGGATTGAAGCAGAACCATCATCTCTGTTTGGAGTCAGGTAGAAACGAACCGGCATGTTGGTCTCCGGAACAAGTCCCTCTTCTAGGTTATAAGTCACACGGGGATCACCAAGGAGCGAGGTTGCTTTGATTGTCTGTGCAGTTCAAAATGGTTGCGTAATCAACGGATTTGTAAGTACAGAAATATTTCCAAAAGCTCTTGTGTACCAACTGTCCCAGATTTTCAGATCTCAACAGAAAACACTAGCAAAAGTATCTTCTGGTGTGAAATTTTAAGCTCACTCGATAGACCTCTGGGCCACAAACAGCTGCAGTCAAAGGTTACCATTCATCACAGGTTTGTTCACTCGCTGTTTTATCCTAAAAACATGCATTTTACAGTTACTGATCCAATTACTAGCTTTGAGCAATCAAACTGAACGAGTTTAAGTAATTTGAGTCCAATACCCATCTCAAGTAAGACTGCAGCATTCAAAATCTTGGCATTAATTTACCTACAGTGCTGTCCAAATGGGAGAGAAATGGAATAGCAGTTGCATATATATGAATTAGAGCAAAAAATGCCTACTGTTGTTAGCCTTTTTGAAAGAAAACTGGTAGCAGATCACTGGACTCTGCAATATACAAAAACATCATAATAAGTTCACTAAAGGTAAGCAAACAAACCTGTTCAGATACTCTTCAGCCTTACAAACAAACAGGCAATTTCCAAACTTACCAAAACCGATGCATCTCGTGTAGTATTCTCTGGAATAACAACTTCATAACTGTCTCTTTCCCACTGTGGAAGCTGGTATTTTGCACTGCTAACAGTTACTGCAAGCTCAACTTTACTGCTCCGATTGCCTCCATCTGTAGCAATAATCTCCCGAATTATAGGTGATCTCTGAAGAATAAAAAGGGGTCCATTAGAGGGAGGCTTGATCAGGACTCAGAAGAGTTTCTTTTGCAAAACAAATGAATATATAAAATTAAAGGCACACTAAAAAAAAAAAAACAAGAAAGAAAAACATCCACAACTGAGAAGACTGAGCTCAGAATATGAAGTAGGTGCAAGGTTGTAGGAAAATTCTGTTATTTGCTTTATTTGAGATCGTTGGAAAATGCTGCTATCTGCCTCGATAAACTGTAAAAAAATTTTTACACACTTTAAGTACTAAAAAACAACAACAACAACTGTGAAAAACCTGTGGAATCCCTGAGTTTTTAAGCTTAACTATCAACATTTTTGTTACCAGGCCTATAGGATTCTTAGATTCAATAAAGCAAATGTATTAAAAGAATATACCTTCATTTAAATTTTATGTCAGCGACTTAGAAGTTAAATTTCAAAGATATGAACAACACCTAATAGGTATTTAAAGATCAGCATCAACAACTATATTTATTTTTACTTCAACACTGTAAATTACTTCACAACTCTGAAAATATCAAACTGCTTATCTAGAAATGGCTGAAACTGCTAAATCTTAGACAGCTAGGTGAAACAATTTTGTCCACTATGCCTTCACCTTCCTGAGAGAGAGCTATGCTTAGCCCAGTGTGACTAAAATGCATCAAACTGGGAATCCACAACAGAAGCAGTATTTCACTCCTTCACGTTCAGGTTTGTGTCTTAACTCATTGCCTGTTAAAACAATGAAGTCCTACACCTGGGTTCTTGTTCCCTGCTTAGGGTCCCAGCCCTCCACAGTCCTTGTTCCGGCATTAGTATGCTGGAACAAACCGGAGCAGGATGAACAGGTTCGCATAGGCAGCACTGTCAGTTGCTGCTTTCCAGCTGAGAGCAGAGCTTGCCTGTATGCAATTCAGAGAGTCATCAGCTAAAAGACTTCCAACTCAGGTTTAATTTAAACATGACATATAGATCCTCTAAAGTGGAGAGGCAACGTGGAGGTAGGAACAAAGTTGTGATCTCGGTCCCTCCTATGACATACTGAGATAGCAATCAGGCTTATAAAGGAAGTGAGCACCTTACCTGAGATATGGGTTGGCTGACAAAGACCCAGCCTGTACTAGGATCAATTTGTAAATAATCTGGTTCATCATTTGCTATGGAGTATGTAATAGCAGCATTTGAGCTGCAGTCAACATCACGGGCTGCAACACGAAGAAAGCTGGTCCCAACTCTCGTGTCCTCTCTTAGGAAATCTAACGCAAGAACAGGAGGTTTCAGACTGATCATTAATTCATTAAAGCATCATGAACAATTTTCAACCGTGAAGAAATATTAAAGTAAAAACGGATGGAAGCTATACTTTATTCACCTTGTAACGATGCCCATAAAATCAAACCAGATATTTTAAAGTGCTGCTATCACTCTAGAACTATGGATCACATTTGAACTTTGCATTATCACATTCATAACCTCGAGTTCTTATTCTTCATAAGTCTTTTTTTAATCTTACAGAACTTACTCCGTTAGTGAAAAATGTGTGTAAAAGAGACATAAATGGAGTTGTAATTTATTGCACAAAAGCGGGGAGGGTGGGGGGAGGAAGGGAAGGACCACGTTGTCAAAAACTAATTTCTAGTATTTGCATATTATAACAAACTGAGAAATATTCTTTTTTCTACTCTTTTTTTTTAAAGAATATTACGTATGCCTCTGGGAGTTCATCTATAAACAAGAAGGGTTTTATGAGGAACCAAGCCGGAAAGGGAAAACAACTAACAATGCAGAATGGTGAAATTCCAGTGGGAAAACTATATAACCAAAAGTTATAACAAACACATATCAATCAGAAAAGAAAGGATACAGTCACTGCTCAGCACTGCAAACTCTCATGCTTACTGCCACCTTCACATCTCTGAGTAGTACCACAGACCTTTGGTTGTACTTAAGTGAGCAGAGATACTGACGTGACTATTGTTTCAAGGTTTGCCCATAACAGCCCTCAGTAAGGACGACCAAGGCTGTACTTGTTACACTGTATGTTACACAAAATGACAATTCTGCAATTAAGATAAGTGCACCTCTGGCTATTATCCCCTCGCTAGTCACAAGATCTAATGTCAGGAAAGAGCAAAAACAAAAATCTTAGATATCAGGTAAGCTCACACTCAGGGCACTGAAACTCTATCCAATGACTCTCAATTACATTCATAGTGGGCGTTTTCAAATCGGGGATCATTGTCGTTTTGGTCCAGGATAATAACATTTTTCTGACATGTTCCAATAAGCGGTTCA